GGTGCCAGTTGGGACCGTTTTGTTCAGGTGAATTCAGCACTTAGGAGTTACAGATTTTTGGAAAATCTGGTCAGTTACGTTGATTCCTGATAAGAACTGATCTGTCCTGAAAAGTATTTTCCATGGGACCTAATTTAATATTATAGGATTTTATCTCAGAACGTTCATACTTCTGCTTGAAATCCATAAATTTCACTGGGTTTGGTGTATTGTACAGTTTGAGCATATTTGGCCATGATGTGAGAGCAAAGCTGAATTGACCTTTGGGCTTACTGCTTGTTACATGCATACTTAGTCATTCTGAGAGTGCTTTCTCATCAGCTTTCCTCTGATTGTCTCTTAGAGGACAAAAACTACTGAAAGTGATTTTTGTTAGGTATACAACAGGAAGAAGATCTGAAATTACCCCTTTCCCCAGTCCAGAATTAAGGGATTGCTCAAATGTAGCTAATTGTTCAACTTTGAGCTGGAAACAACTGCTGTCAGATACAGAAGTGAAAGATTTTAGAGGGGTAGACAAATCCCTATGAGCAGCTAAGGCTCACAGCTCAAAACCTAAGTTAATACCTGGAAAGTTGGCTGTTAAAATATGTCAGAAAAACTGCTTTAAATACATCTTTCAAGTACTTAATGCACAACATTCTCTTTTAAATGTAGAGGGTTAATAGCTTAAAAGGTGAGTTTAACTTCACAGTCATGGTGGTAAGTGCGATGTAATGGAGTGCTAATAGGCGGATGTAGCTACATAGCATGAAGGATATGAAGACTCCAGGAGGAGCAATGTGTGGTGTAAATACTGAATGTACTGTCTGGGAGCAACAAAAAGCTAAATTTTACTTCCAGCTTAAGGATTTATTATGAGACCATGAATTTTTATAAATACATTCCAAAATTCTCAAATCCAGGAATCACATATATTCAACTGAAGATGGGCTTCATAAGTCACTGGGTCCATCATGGGATCACCAGCTAATTCGGGCTGGAAGGGACCTCGGGAGGTCTCTTTTCCACTGCCTGCTCAAAGCCTGTCCCAGGCCATGTTGCTGAGAGCTTGATCCAGTCTAGTCTTGAGAAACACCAAGGATTGGAATTGACAGTGTTTCTGAGCAACCTGTTTCACTCTTCAACTCTTCTTTGTGAAACAGCTTTTATTTACATCCGGGCCAAACCTCGCTTGTTTCAGTCTGTGCTGGCTCTTTCTTCTCCTTCCATCATGCACCACCATGAGGAGCTGGCTTTGTCCTGTCAGTAATAGCCCCACAGATGAAAAGGTTCTTAGGTCCCCTTGAAGCCTGGCTAGTGTTGTTGCACAGAGTATATTTTCTTAGTGCATGACCTGCTTTGGCTTTATGTGTAGCAAGAGCTCTATCTTTCACTGCTTCCCAACAGAACATAACATGGCACTGTCAGAAAGCTATTACCAGTACTCCTCTCATACATTCCTTTATTGATTTCCTTCTCACTTTACTTAAAATTAGCATAAATACTATGATCATACAGTTAAGCAGGTTATTAGGGGAATGGATAAGTGGTCTTGGCCAGTAGTCTATCAGATGACTATGGTCAGAATCAGAGCTGCCAAATCAAGGAAGCAATGAAAGACTGAAAATCTGTGTCTGAATCTGGTCTGGCAGCTTTACACTGGTGAGCCTCTGACTTCCACTGCATTCCTAGTTTTAGAAGTGAAAAAGATCTGTTATGTCCAACTCCCAGTGTTGGGCAGTCCATGTGGAATAGAGGGATGAATGATCTCCTAAATCATTTTATTGATGCATCCTGAATTATCTTAGTTTTCAGTTTAATGCAGGTTTTGTGAATGTCCTTTGTGGATGCATTTTAGTAGTGTTAATTATTTTTAGATAAGTAGGAGGAAAAGATTTTGTGTTTTTAAAAAAGAAGGAAAAAAAAATCCAACAAATTTGTGGAGTCTGGTAGATGATTGTCCTGGGACATAGTTGCCAGCTGGGGTTAAACTGCACAATGATGTAGGTAGATGGTAGATCTGGCTTGAACGTTTCCAGTGCTGGTAAATGATGCCTTGGTGTCCATTCTAATTGTGCTTTTACACTCCATTTGACGGTATGCAAGGTCTGCTTTTTAAGCAATGAGCTGTGGCCTTGATATGTCTACGGCTGTGTTGTATTCAGAGCAGGCCTTTGTATTAATTGGTAGCACTGGGAAAATTCTTTTGTGTGCAATTTTATTTCCTTACAGGAAGAGTTCAAAAAAGAAAACCTCTTGTAAAAATTCCACTCTGTACCAAAGAATTTTCCAGGTGCTTATCATCCAAGGGTGAGACTGAGCAAAGAGCCTTAGAAGGTTACGAACCCCCGCGGAAGTGGTAACAGTGTACAAAGGACTCAATTCTTGCATATCCTGTTTTATGTAGTCTTGGGACAAACTACATTGTATAGTGTTGAAAGCAAAGGAAAATCACATTCTTAATGCATTTATTAAAACCAGCCATTTGGATGTTGTTTAATGATCATTGCTTAGACTGGAGATAGGAACATGGCTGAGCATATCAAACAGCAGCCTCTTTGAATGCTTATTAATGCCATCTTGGTGTGGTTTGAAATTGGATGTACCAGAGGCATGTGTATGCTAGCGAGCAGCTGTCTCTGGTGGTGAACTAATCTGTTGAGGGGAGGAAAAGTGTGTGTGAGCAAACCTTTACAATCCAAAATCAAGATCTTTCGCCAGCATCAAGAGAGCTTTTTTGTAACCAATATTTTGTACTGAGAGGAGTGACATTTAAAAAATTGTGAATAACAAGCCTTTAAATGGCTGAGAAGGAGGGAGGAAAGGAAGGAATGTGAAATGGAAGATTGGAAACAGCAGAGAAAATTATTTAAAGCACTTGAACATCCATACAAGGTTATAAAGACATCCTGAATGTACAATGGGGGGGATGCAAAAGGTGTGGGAAGGAACTTCCACCAGACTTTATTGCCTCTGCAGAAAAACAATGAAGTAATTCTCTACAGAATGCCTCTTTCCTGATTTCTTCAGCTGGCTCAGCCAGAGGTTTTAGGAACAGATTAGTTCCCGTGAGCAGAAATGCCAAATACATCTCTGTTTGGATGTAATATGTTGAATGGAGGACAAAAGACTTTGGACAGCCTTGTGCATCCCTGCTACTTTAGGCAGTGGGCAGTGCTTCAGTCCTGTGTTCTTTGTTACTAGGACATGAAAAAAATATGCATCTGTATTGGCTTAATACCCTGCTTAAGTTGCCTCTCAGTCTTTAAATAAGTTGTTCATGTATAAATACAGTCCCTGAGTAACATGATAGTTTTCATCCATAGTGGGGTCGACTTTGCTTTGTTCTTTGCTGCCAGCTTACTTTGTTTCGCTGTTGTAAACTACCTCACGAGGTCTTCATTAACCAAGCAAACTCTTCTCAGCAGCATGCTTATCAGTCACTTAACCTTTTTGTAAGTGGCTGGTGTGAAAAATAGCGTAACACCTTATCTGCTTTTGCAAAATATTTTGAAAGCCCAGTGTAATTTTAAGGAATTTATTAATTGTGTAGCAATATATGTGCTCTCCTCATCTGTGATGTAGATTTTAATTTTGTCAACACTTATCTCTTTCAAACACTTTAAAAGATCTCAAACATTCACTTTCACACTGTGTCTGTCTTTGGACAGATATTCAGCCTACTACAAATAGATGTAAATCCATTGACTTCAGTGAGGCTGACTGAAAACCTGTCTTACTCTAACCACACTATTGCTCCTTTCATTTATTTAAGTACAAGAAGGTACAGTATCAGGCACTATAGGCTGTGTGCTTAAAAGAAAAAGTCATTAAGAATCTGGAAAATGTGAATTTGTACTCAATTCTTGTAGATTATGAAGTGAGGTTTAGTCTAAGAGCCAAATCTTAGATAGTCTGTTATCCTTACGGATTCACAGGCAGTTGCTGATACATGGCCACTGTGAGATCCTGCAGACACTGTATACCTGTGGTTTAAAAGTATTTGTCTTGACAACTGGAACAAGTGTAAAGATCTTTGTGCTAGTCACTATGGCAATGCTAACTTGTATTGCCTGACCATTCAAAAATCAAGATGGGAGCTCTGATCATGGAAAGTCAGGTGCTGATTTGCAGTGCAGTCTGCAGACCCAAGAGCAAAATTTTGCCTTTAAGCTTTAAAAAAAACCTAACTAGACAAATGGGAGTCTTCCAGTATAATTTATCCTGTAGCTGCCTAGTGATGATATATAAACTTAATACTAAAAAATATGTTCCTTCATTTAATTTTTAACTGCAGTGGTGTGAAAGCATCGTTGGGTACATCGTGTGCTTTAGAGGGTTTGTGTTCTTCTCATAGAAATCTAATGCTTTTCATTTTCCTTAACCATTTGTGTCTGTACACTTGGGGCTTACAGAGCAAGGCTTGCATGCACAGAGCTCTTCTGGCAGGATGGCTCAAATGCCTGCCCGGTGTTCTGCAACAACCCTTGTACTCATTCTGCGCTTGTTCTGCCAAACCACTGCTGCTTCGTTTCTTCTATGCAACCAGTTTAAAATCCCATCAAATTTATGGTCCTCATTTGTCATCATTTTTCTTGAGCCAGCCTCCTATTAGTAACTTCACTGCTTCTGCCAGTTCCTTAGGTGGAGATGGCTTAAGTGGGTGTAACCAAAATGAAAAATGTAGCTAAATTGGGTGATTCAGAGCAGGATGAGATAATGTGGCAACCATCAGTGTCTTAAGCATTCTCTGTTTTGTTCATCTGAATCTGAATGTATCATAAAATAAAATATAATATTAATTGTGGTTCAGTTTCTCTCTTATGTAGTCAGATTGTAGTCAGATCTGGAGCTCTGAAATAAACGCAGACAAACTTGGAACTTAGCTTTTATCTTGAGTATTGGAATGAAGAAAACGCTTCTCTAAGAAGAGACAGGAAAGAATATGGTTAAATGTGGTGTCTTTGAAGTGTTTCTGTTACACCTTCTTATGATGCTTCTGTTTTCTCTACCCCTAGCTTTCTTTGGAAAGTACCTCAATGAATACAATGGCTCCTACGTGCCTCCTGGTTGGAAAGAATGGGTTGGACTACTTAAAAACTCTCGATTTTATAACTATACACTCTGTAGAAATGGAGTGAAGGAGAAGCATGGATATGACTACTCCAGGGTAGGTCCTATTGATTTATTTCTATTATTTTTACATTTAGGCGTGGCTGCAAGAAGACTGTGCTGCATGGCTTCAATCTAACTAAAGAATTCCTTTCATACATGAAAGCTGCTCCGTGTAACATTAGCTACAACCCAATAGGCGTCATGTTTGGACTTCTCCTTATCTTCCATTCCAGGAGGGTCATGTTACTGAAAACATTGTTAGCAGCAATGGAAACAAACATAATGTCCTGAGACTGTATTATGCATTATGAGCTGAAGTAAAATTGGTTTAAAAGCTGCATGATAACAACTTCAGTACTTTGTATACTTTAATTATTGTGTGCTGAGTCTGATTGTCATCTATTCCCCTGGTATAGAACTGACTCTAGTGGAGTTACACAAGCATAAGTGAGATAAGAATCCAGTTCCCTCCAGCTAAACCCATCTTTTTATATTAGTTTAAGGAACTTGTTTCACAGCCGTAATAAGATGGAGAATTCATAGTATCTTGGTGTGTATCTTAGGATTATTCTGAATGAGTAGAGAATGTAACTATTGAATTTATATCTCTGTGCATTGTTACAGGCACATATGTCTCCTAATATCCTTGCAAGGATGTTACACCCTGGCCAAATTTACTAAAATGCTTGATAACCATTGTCAAATGCAGTACCTTTTTTTTTTCCCTCTCATCTAGCACATGTTGCAGCTCAGTTACCTCTTTGCAGTCAGGAGCATGTTTATTTCAGCCAAATGAGTTGTCTTTCCAAAGGAACCAGCTTTTGTGAATTCCTAAAATGGCCTGAGTTGTCTCTGAAGTATGATGGTAAATAAATTTATCTGTAAACTGCTGTAGTTTAAGTAGTGTATAACTTAAGAAGGTGACTTGCTCTGGAGTGACATTAATTTGTAAGGTGTATTTGCTCAACAAAGACTCGGTTTGCTCTCTCTTATTGAGCAGAAATTCTGCCTCTGTATTTGTGTTTCATTAGCAATGTGTTCACAGTCAGATTTTCCTTTGAAAGGCTGATGTCTCTGATTTCTCCTTTCCCCTCCCCTATTTGTCATTTTTAATTGAATGTACTTTGTGTTGAAAGATAAAACTTAACAGGCTTCTAGGGTTTCCTTTGCTATCACCAGCTGCCAAGGGGAAAGGGCACCTGATGTACAGAATTATTTCTCTTTTATTTCCCTTCTCATCTATGACGAATGAGAGCTAATCTCTAAAGCAGTGTACCAAAAATGTTATGATGGAAATAGATCTTACATGGAACAATGTCAGGCAAGTAATTTCATAGGGCACTGTTCCCCATTGCTCCAAGGAGCCAGTAGGGAACTGTGTGTTCCAGTATTCTCAGCTCTGGTTTGTGTATGCAATACTTGAAAATGTTTAGGTTTGCATTTGGTTTAGTTTTCCTTACTCAGTTTGATCATAAATTTAAAAAAAAAAATAAAATGTAAATGTTTTTGTAATCTTCATATTCTTGCATAATGCAGAGCTATTGTAATAAGCAGATGCTAGTACACAGAGCAGCAGCACTTGTTGGTGTTAACACTGGAGTTCAAATGAACAAACAGAAGCTGACATACAAGACTGCTTTTGCCACTTTTGTTGCTGAAAATTTAATTTTCCAGCAATGAACAACATAATCAGATTATTTTTTAGCCCTATCTACTTGACGCTGTTAGTGTTAATTATATGCCAGTGGAAAACTTGGAAAAAAACACTGCTGATTCTGTCCTCAAAAGCAAGAGCTGAGCACTTTCCCTCTGAAAATCAAATCTTTGCAAATTCTTTCAGATTTTCTAGCAGGATATATTCTACTTTGATTGTCCTTTTTTCAGTTTATGTCAGCTTTTTTAGATGAGTGTTTAGTTTCGTATGCATTTGCACCGTCTGCAACAACCTCTGTAGTCTGGAGCTCTTTAAAGAAAGAAGTAGGTTGGGGGAAAGGTTTCTCCTTGGTCTTTTGGCCTGGCAGACTCTGGGTTTGCAGTGTTGAATTTGAATGATTTTCACTTTGACCAGGTGAAAATTATCTTCAAAATTAAGTTTGAAACTATGCTTTCATAATGGCTGAACGAAAGATGAGTTATACACTTAAGATGCTGAACAGCCACCTTAAAGGAGGGTCACATTTCAGATAAATGTCAATGCTTTTTTGACAGCATTCCAATGTTTCTCTCTGAGCCATAACTATGGTCTCAGGTATTAAAAGTATGCTCAGAAGCCAGTTTTGCCCTGGTCTGGCTTATTGTACAATCTCCCTTCCCCTGCATATGGTGATGAAGGGAGGTCCTTCAGTTAACTTTGATGGAATCATGCCTATTTACACCTGCTTTCATGAGTGAAAATACCACATCAATAATATAGTCATGGCAGTTTCATAACAGACATGCACCATGCTGGGACCAGTGTGTAAAATGATAAACAAAGACTTTGTCAGCCTTGTTCTGGGATGCACAGGAAATAACTTGGGGAAAGTAAATACAGTCAGTGAAAAAGGCCTCCTTTGATGGATGATAAGCTGACTTCTCAGGTCAAGGTCATTGGCAGTGATGAAGAGAAGCAAGAGTCTGAACCACAGACAGAAAACTGCACTTAAAAGGAGATTTAATCCAATATGTACCACACCTTGTACTTGTTCACTTGACCAGGGGCAGATGTTATGTCTGATTTTTGCGTTCAGTTGTGATATGACAGTTGTTCTTCTCTTTTTAACGGTGCAGTTTCATATCCTACTCATGTTTGAGAAGTATTTATATTTGCAGCATTTCCTGTGATGCAGTCTTGGAGAGAACATGGATTGTCACTGAAAATATTGTCTTCAATCCATGTGGCTCCAGCAGATATAAGGAGAATAATAATGATGCTTCTTAGAAAATGGAAAGATGGTCTATATCTTCCAAAGGAAGTTTTCTGTATTCTCAGCATTTTATTTGATAGAACTAAATCTCTACCAACTTGTCACTGTGTCAGTAATATTGAATGAACTTTTGGTCCAATTAGCACAGCGTTTTTTAGCTTAGTGACTTCTGGTTCAGAGGGAAGTTAAGAAAAGTGAACATCGAGCCCTTTGGATTTTTAAAGCACTTTTATGTTGCTAAGGTCAGATTAAATGCCTTGAAGATATCAACACCAGAAAGCGAATAAATTGACCTGTAATTTTCTTTTTTTCATTGATACAGTTGTATTTAGTACTGTGATCTTCATAATGTAATTATGTACTCTGGGAAGAAAGAGTCCTATTTGGTATTCATTTCTGAGAGGAAGCTGTGGCTTTTCATATTTGTAAGCAGTGAAAAAAGAATGGTTTGGTTTTGCTTTTTGAAGTTTTAACATCTGTAACTTACTCCCTTCTCCCATTTTGAGTGAAGTAGCTTCTTTTCTCCTGTTTCTCAGTCATCCCCTTACCGCCTCACCCCCCAGTTTGAAATTATTTTTCAAGTATCTCATTATACTTTTACTTCTTCTTGCAGGACTATCTAACTGATCTGATTACAAATGACAGTATTACCTTCTTCAGAATCTCAAAGAAGATGTATCCTCACAGGCCTGTGCTGATGGTTATAAGCCACGCTGCTCCTCATGGCCCTGAAGATTCAGCCCCTCAGTACTCACATCTCTTTCCTAATGCCTCACAGCACATGTAAGGAAAAATAAACCCCTTTCATTTCCAGGTTCAGGAATATAGAAGTCCTGGGTACGTCTGGGAGAACATCGTTCGCTTTGTAATACTCTTAGCATAAGTTTGTCACAAATATGTAAGAAGAGTTTCGAGATTTTATCTTTTTAACCTCTTCAGGCTTGTACAAGCATCTTGAGAATGGTGACCTTATCTAGAACTCAGCATTGAAGGTCACTGAGATAAATGGAAAGATTCATGTTGATTTTATTGGGCAATGTTACAACCTATTTAGGAAATGAATCACTGTTTTATTTGGGGAGGGGAGTGGTGGTGGTATCAAACTCTGATTCTTGGGCTGTCATCTCTTCAGGAAAAGAATCTATCTCCCACTCCTTAGATATAAACTATATTGTTTTATGGTAGTATCAAAAAATCACGTAGCAAGCAGTACTTAGTACTTCTGTTTCATATATGGAAAGAAAGGGAATACAGGCCTGCAGCACCAAATAAGACAAGCTATTTCTGAATGAGGTCTTGTGTGTCTGTACATGACTCAGAACAATGTCTTGAACAGGTCCCAAAAGCTGTATCACCTGGTTCCTGAGTTAACATGTTCATAAGGTACATGAGGAGATGGTTCTTGTTTATAGCACAGGAACATTTCACAGCTAGAGCTCTGTAATGCTCCATTACAGACACCTCTTCACATGCTGATAAAATGAATGGTTCTTCCAAATCGGCTTTAGATTAACTGAGCACACTCCAATATTTTTCTAATTACTGGCTTCATGCCTTCATTGATGTTCAGCATTTGTCGTTTAGATCCTACATGCCCTTTTATATTCCTAGCATTTTAAAGGGGAATTCTGTTTTATTTAGGATTTGTGAAGGAACTGGGAACTGTTGGAAATAATAATCCATTGGTAGCTGAAGCTGCTCAGGACTAGTCCAAAATCTAGTGAAAGCTATTTCAGCTTTTTAATTTTATTTAAAATAGAGTCTGAGAGAAAAAGCTTCCTTTGTTCTATTGTCCAGGTATTGCGTAACTTAAAATTACATATTTCATGCTTTTGTGCTGTGCCCCAAAGAGAATCTGTGTCCTAGATTTACAGCAATGCAGGATTTTATATTTGTTTTCTGTCTTATGCTCATTTATTGTCTTTGAAAATGCCAAATGAGCAGCTTCCCATAGTTTATACTCAGTATTGACCCCACTTGTATTAGAAGTTCCCTTGGAAGGCATTCATATTTCAGAGATAATCATTTATCAAGCAGCATTCTGTAGCAATTTAATTATGCTTGTTGTATGAAAAAGATTTAGGAGGGTTTGAGGAAGGCCAGCAATGAAAAATATAAACTATGTCTGGTTTTCATTTGTTCATAGTTTAAATTTTATTTTTCATACAAACTAGGTTTTTCTTCCTTATCATAAAGTGGTTACACAAAACCATTTTCGATTGCGGGTGGCTTTTCTTACAATGACAATTATACAGGAAATGTGCCTTCATGGAAACAAGTTTTGTTTGTAAAGAAACAAATTATCTGCTCTCGTGAGACCTCACTTGGAGCATTGTGTACAGTTCTGGTGTCCTCAACATAAAAAGGACATGGAACTGTTGGAACAAGTCCAGAGGAGGCCATGAGGATGATCAGGGGCTGGAGCACCTCCTGTGTGAAGACAGGCTGAGAAAGTTGGGGCTGTTCAGCCTGGAGAAGAGAAGGCTGCATGGAGACCTCGTAGCACCCTTCCAGTATCTGAAGGGGGCCTGTAAGGACGCTGAGGAGGTGCTCTTCATTAGGGACTGTAGTGATAGGACAAGGGGTAACGGATTCAAACTTAAACAAGGGAAGTTTAGGTTGGATCTAAGGAAGAAGTTCTTTACTGTGAGGGTGGTGAGGCGCTGGAATGAATTGCCCAAGGAAGCTGTGAATGCTCCATCCCTGGCGGTGTTCAAGGCCAGGCTGGACAGAGCCTTGGGTGGCAGGGTTTAGTAGGAGGTGTCCCTGCTCATGGCAGGGGGGTTGGAACTGGATGATCTTAAGGTCCTTTCCAACCTGAACTATTCTGTGATTCTATGATTCTGTCTTAGTAGATTAAGGAGCTGTGGTTTTCTTTTGGATATAAAAATAGCCATTTATGTACATCTTATGTAAAAAACCTCCCAGTCTTATTATAAAGAATTTTTTTTACTTTAAATAATTATAGTAATAAACTATAAGGGGTTTCATTGGCCTGGGTTTAGCATTAAATGTAAAAATGCCGAATGTGCATCATTCCCTCACTGTATGTACAAATTAGTTCTCTACTTCCCCTTTTTTCCTTTGTTTCCACATTCCAGGGAATCCCTCAGTGGTAACGGGATGTAGGCAGCTCTCACTGTTTCATTGTCATGTGGATACGGTAGGGAAGGATGAGGTGGAGCCCTTCATATGAATTGCCCTAAAGCACTAAGCAATACCCTGACGAAAGTTCTTGTCTAGTCTTAGCTCTTGTGGCAGCACTGACAAAGTTTGCAAGTGGATTCTTGAGCTGTGTCCCCAAAGCAAAGGGAAGGTGACACTGCAATGGTAACACTGGTTGACATCCATACGGCACTGTGTAGCCTTGGTAGTAGTACCTCGAAGTTAGTGGTGTGGATTTTAGCACAGGCCAACGGTCAGAGTACTTTGCTTGGGATCTTTGGTATGTACTTCTGTGCTAATTTATGCTGGTGCCTTCTTGCTTCTATTATTGCACACACTAACTGGTATGACCGTTCCACCCCCTACTGCAATTGACTGCCTTGTTCTATAGAGCTTTTCGTGTACATCTACAGTCTTTTCTTGTTTGAAAAATCACTCACATCAGCCAGCAATCACATAGCAAATCCATAGTCTATATGGTTTTCCCTTTTTACTGCCTATGCTGGTAGTAGAAGAAGAAAGCGGCAGCTGGGCAGTTTAAGAGTGATCAGAAATGTTATTTCTATAGAGGGTACATTGTAGCACCCGTATTTTCCAAGGTCAGATGCAATCAGACCAGGACTTATCTTCTGAGTACATTTGAAGAGGTTGTCTTAACCAACTTCTAAGAATGTTGTATTTGAGTAATTTTCCCATAAGACAGACAAATCTGTTACACATAAGAGGGTTACATTTGTAGTAATCAAAGAAAATCATGGGCTTTGGTTGGATTAAATAGCGGGAGGTTACAAATCAGCCAGGAAATCACAAAGTAAGCTGAAAAGGAGTTTGCCAAGCATTTTTGATTCATTCTGGGCTTCGCATAGCAACAGTTTCTATAACTGTCAGCATTTTCAAAGGAGCAATGTCATTATTTCAGCCACAATAACATTCTGAAATTCAAGAGGCTATTAACAATACAGAGAGAATAAACACCAGCCCTTTCCTCCCTGTATTAAGAAGCCTCCATTTGTCTGTCGCCTACGCACATTTTTCAGATAGCATCTAACAGACGCTTTCAGCATCAAACATTTTGCTGTCAGATTATTAATTTCATATTTATGTTAAAACTCTTAAGACTACCTGTCAAATTCAAAAATGCATTGGATACACACAGTATTTCAAGGAGAATTTTCAACTTATATTACTGTTGTTTATCTTAATAACTAACCCTGCTGCTCTGTTGCATACACAAAACCGACAGTAGATATTTGCCAAGTAGGAGCTGAATTTATCAGGAAATTGTGTGTTGGAAAGAAGAAAATAACTGAAAATCTGCTATTTGTCCTGTGTTACCGTGTCACCCTCTGCTTGCACATTTGCATAGACTGACTTCTTTTGCTTTTAATGAAAAAAAGAAGCCTCACAAATTATTTAGGAAAAGTAATTTTTAATACTTTACACTGTCGGTGATGTCCTTGAGCCAGGGTATGAAGTCAATTGACAAAGGCAGTTCTTAATCTTAAGTAATAACTTTGAGGAATAGATATGGTATGTAAAATAATATTTCTTGCAAAAGTAAGCTATAATAGAGCTTTCTAGTGATGCAGAGAGTCAGCGTCATTGTAATGCTATATCAAAATAAGTCTTGTTTTGATTCAGCCAACCTAAAGCAATATTATTATGCAGAGAAAAGTGATCTCTGGAACTGCCAGCAACATGAGATTATGGATAATCAGTCATACATTTCCTCATCACTTAAGTGGTGTCCCAGGATCAGGAGAACTTGGAGGGGCAGCAAGATTCCAGGGGGACATTGAATCCAGCTCTTGAGAATTTGCAGGGATTTTAATTAAAGATTCTGATGATCAAAAAAAAGTTGGTGGCTCGAAAGTGCCTGCAAAATACAGTCCTGTTTCCCCTTCCCCTGCTTTTCTTGGCAGGTCTTTAAAATGTGGCTACGTATCCACTCCTTGCTATGAGCTCTCATGCAGTTTGGTGCACTGGGTAGGGTGTCCATGCCCCTTTGGGTTCATGAGTATGAAAGCATTCAAATAGCCAAACTGTTGAGCATAGTAGAACCTTTTCAGTAAGTTCTGTGGCTATTGTTAAACAGCTGCACAAGCCATGATATTTGGTGCTAATTATGTACAGGGTGAAAAGAAAGCAATTACGTCAGTAGGAACTCTGTAGTACATGCTCCATCCAGATGTACTTGTGGAGTTAGACTTGTGAGGCTAGTCTCCTGGCCTTGAAATGTACCCGTGTTAGTCTGGATGACCCTGCAAAAACAATGTATGTTTACTCTTTTAATAGATTTGAGTCCCCAGAGTTGTTTTCATTCTCCCATCTTCCATAGGGAACATAAAAGTAAGATTTTTCCAGAGTAAATCTAATACTTTCTTATGCGCCTCAGAGAATAAATTCTGTAGTGCTGATCAAATAGAAATTAATGGTAAGCATTACTATGGATTTATTTTTTTTCTACACTGCTAAAACATTCTGGTTTTCTCTGTTCCCTAGCACTCCCAGTTATAACTATGCTCCAAACCCAGACAAGCACTGGATAATGCGGTATACAGGACCCATGAAGCCCATACATATGGAGTTCACTAACATGCTACAGAGAAAACGCCTTCAGACGCTCATGTCTGTGGATGACTCTATGGAGATGGTAAATTCAGTAGTCACTTTTTTGAGGACTTAAACGGGTGCTTGATTCTTGTGTTAAGCTCAGACTGTGCTGTATGTGAAAGTAAGGGGGAAAGAATGATGTGGAGGACTGCAGCAGTGTTTTAATAATGTGTAATTCTCTCACCTCTGAGGATTTGTCTCTTTATTCAGAGTGTAAGAATCCTCATCTTGTGAAGTTGGATGGTATAAGTGAGCTGATTTATTGACACAAAGCCACTACTGGTTAAGGGGAAGAAGGAGAAATCACCTGAGAAGATTTACATCATAAAGTCTAAAAATGTATCATCTGATAGTGAAAAGTCATCCTACAACCTGTTGGAAATAACTGCCTAATTGCATGGGCCTATTTTAATCCTATAACGCTGTGTTTCTGAGAGAAGAAAAACAGCTGCAGAGAAAGTAATGCTTCAGGAGGCCTAACTGGAATAATCCCATAGTAATCCAGGCCTGGGATGTTACATGTTAGAAGTAAATATATAGTTAGATTATTATTTTATTTTTTTAATTAAATCTGCATTATGTAATAATGAAATCTCTTAATGATTGTCTTGAACAGAAACATCTGAATTAGCTAAAAGCTACTCTGAAAAAGAAAGGATTTCCAGTTACGAGAAGGCAGATTTAATGGTGGTGCAATTACTGCTTATCTCTTGGCATTTTTATTCAAAAAAAAAAAGGTAGAATGTAAAATAAGAGGAGTCCTGTAAGGCAAAGAGAAGATTATCTGCATGGCATTGCTTCAACTTGTTAGTAATGTCTTGTAATTAGTGATTCAGGCAAGTATGATCTCTGCTTCACATTAATGAGCCTGTCTGGATGGATCAGATATCGGCGTTTGGAGAGACTGGTGATTTTACTACACTATTTTGGTTTTCTGTTTAAAATGGTTTCACTTTGAGTGATTCACTGCAGGCAAAGTAAGTTGGGTTACTTTTTAGTAAGCCTGATCTTTTCTATGGGATTATATCCATCTAATAGTCTCCCAAAATTAAAATAAAAATAAAAAAAGACTAAACCACCCCAAAAAGAATAAAAGAAAACTCTCCCAAGCCAGCAACAGCTGTAGTTTGTTTTCTCCAGTGCTGGTGTGTTCTGGGTCTGCGTGAGGGGCACTTTGGCGGTGCCCCAACACCTTCATACCTTTGTAAGTGAAAACATCACATAAAAATTGATCTTCGGTGCTCGAGTTGGTACATACACAATAAAGGTTCTCATGTAAATCTATAGAAGCAACTACAGAGTTAAAGCTCCTCTTAATTCTCCACAGTCAGTATGACTGAGTGATACTTACCTGGAAGAGATTTGCAAATATTCTGCATAATAGAGACTCATTTGTCTGAAGGCAAGATCATTCAGTGTTGCTTAAATAAGTGTGAGATTCAAAACGCTGTCATTTTATTAAAATTGTTTGCTGCAGGAAAAAGATAAAGGTGGAGAGAAAAATCCAAAAATGCATATCACCTTGAAACTTTTATCTCTGTCCCCGTGTTACTTAGTGCTGTCTTGACAGCTCTGATGCAAATCAAGCACTGCTGAAAATGTGGCATGCTAATGTGTTTACCTTAAAAACTACAAATTTTTCTTGTGATAGCCACAGAACTGGGTTAGTAAAATGGTGCATTGTGATAACTCGGTGTTATCCTGAACTCTAGTTATTTGTATATTACACATAGGCAGAAATTTATACCTAGTATTCTGCATAGAGTACTACTCGGAATTAATTTCATGTTTTGGTTTGTTTTTTTTCAGATTTACAATACGTTGGTTGAAACAGGTGAATTGGACAATACATATATAATATATACAGCTGACCATGGTTATCATATTGGGCAGTTTGGGCTGGTGAAAGGAAAGTCCATGCCATACGAGTTTGACATCAGAGTTCCTTTCTACATCCGAGGTCCAAATGTGGAGGCTGGGTCCTTGTAAGTTCTTGGCTAGTGTGTGTGTGTGTGACCAGAAAAACCCTTCGTGTTCACATCTGTAGTTGTACTGACCTGGCATCCAAATGGAGGCACAAAGTTCTGCCCCTCCTGACTCACTTCCTCCTCATTATTGGCAGAAAAATAGGTCTACTCAAAGCAGAACTGGTAGCACATGCTGGTATAGCTGGTATAACACTGTGACAGTTTCATGCCATTTGCCTTTGTGCTTGTGTAGGTATACAGTACAAGCCACTGAACTTTTGTGGATGTAGCTGAAAAAGCCACTTTGAAATATGTCTGAACTAGGAAACATTTATTTGCCTCCTTTTGAGGCATACAAATAATACACAGACCTATGACATTTTCAAGGTAAAAATATATTGTATAATGTTTATGGCCACAGTACATAATTGTTGCTGAACATTGCAGCGGAGTCACATGTTTCAGTTTATGAAGGATAATGTACATAATAGTTCATATATTATTATCCACAAAAGATTCTTTTTGGCTTATCCTTTGAGATTACATGGTTATGGCTGTTTGTCGGATGCACACAAGCATGCAGAATGTGACTGTTAATTAAAGTGGTAGCTTTGATCAGCTAAGAAATTATGTAAATACACTTTCTAAGCAATTATTTCAATAGCAAATATTTGCACTTAAGTAATGATTTTGGACAGAGTGCCATAATTTGCTGCCTTTTATTTATATCAGTGTGCATGTTTTAGCATAATTAGCACACACAAAGTCTTCCATACAGTTTTTTTCTTTACCACAGAGGAACAGATCTGGTGTGTAATATGGTAGCAAATAGTTTCTAAAAAATCTCATTCCATTTGCTGCTTAAATTCACTGACTCACATCATCAGTAGGCACAAAAATGTGAAATTCAGTTGATACTGCACTGTATGTCTAATTTATTTACAGCAGTTATGCATGTGAAATAAATACTACTTCTCTAAAGCACAGAGGAGGGATTTCTCAGGTGGAATTAGACATATTACTTCAGCACTGAAAGAAGCTTGTCTGCAGCAGCACAGAGTTTCCAGGGAGCTGCAGTAGCCTTCTAGGAGCATGCTCTGTCCCTTCAACTGCAGTTTTTGGTCTTACTGGAAAGACAGTGCCCAAGTGTCTGAGCTAGTTTTTCTGCAATGTGCAGTGCTAGAGACCAGGTGCCTCATGTACTTTGGTTCAAGGATCTTTACAACCAGACATGCATAAAAGCTGTGAGACCTTCCCACTGAATTTTATTTTTCAGTGTCTTATGAAAGTGAAAAAATGTTTGTTAGAATCGGAGGAGTCAGCCTGACAGGGTCTAGCAGAACAGAGTCCATCACAGTACAACAAATAGGAAGAACAGAATAAAATAGGTTGGAGGGGTGGTACATCAGATAATAAATTGATCCTCCCTTTCACCCCAATTTTCTTTAAATGGTGAAACTTCAATCATCCATGCTTTGTGTGAAACTTATGTTTTTCCTGCAGAGTAATTGTCATGACTCCCTTTTGATACCAATGAAGATTTAACAGCAGTCACTGTAGCAAGTCATTACCAAGCTCTCATTTCTATTACCAAATATGCTACACCATAATTATTAGTAATTAAAATCAAATTAGGTACATCAATTTAATTCATCATCCATGCTCTTGTCAGTGCCTGTTTGCTCGCTTGCTCAAAAATGTAGTAATTTTTAAATCGTGTCTCATTAATTAGTGTGAGTGCAGCAGCTTTCTTCTGTCCTGCATTTTGAGCTAGAATTCTGCACTGACATGTATATAGCAGCCCATCTGGTCCCATCCTTCCTTTGTGCCTGCAGATCATCCCACGGTGATTCTTTATGTTCAGCACTGTAGAAGACTGCCTGGAGAGCACTATGCTCGTTTTCTTTTTTTCCCCCACTTTTAAGAAATTGAGTGCCTTCCTTGATTTTGGTTTGTTTTTGGTTTTTTTTTTAAGAAATAAGGAAAAGAAACAGCACACAGCTGATAAGCAGTGTGTGTATATGTAATATTGTGAGTAATTAGACAACACAGTCATAGACATATTTGATATAAGTCTGAAACAGTTCTGCACAACCAAGTCCCATGATTAGGAATCTGGGCATTTATTTAGCTACTGAATGCTGGGCTATGCAGCTAGGTGCTCTGATACACAAACTTACTCATGTTTAGCTATGGCATTTCAAGGGATCCAGGGATAAGAGCTATCTGTACTACTTGGGAGTTGATGCCAGTCTTTTAACCAAATCTGAAGTCAGTTTGAGTTCAGATACTGTCCTGTTAAACTGTGGTGGCTGAGGAGCATGTGCTATACTGTGCTAAGTGACAGGGCATTGCTGCTTCTAAGTGTCTGAAGAATGGATAACTGCATGCTTGGGAAGGTTGATTTTATTTCAGTTAAAGCTGTTCTTTTCCCTCTCTCTTTCAGTTCTCCCCATCTTTTTTAATGCGTAACTGCTTCCTCTCTGTTTTTTCTTTCCTGATCTTTTCCTCCTTCTGTCTCAAGCTACATTAACAGCAACTAATAGTTATTTACTGTAATGTCTAGCAATATATGTCTCCTCATGTTCTCTTCAGAACATGCTGGCTGTGATGTAAGCTGAGGTACTTATTTCTGTACCATATTTTGAAACAGATAAAGCATATGCTATGTGCCAAATCTACCTTTTAATAAAGTCATGAGCATATTTGGCAGACACTTTGATTGTGTAAGACACCCAAGGAGTTTTTCCAGTGTGTTCTCATGTTTTGAAAGACTTTTGAACCTTCTTTAGCAGTAATTAACTAACTTTGCCTTATGAATTAGTTTGCTTTCTCAAAAATGTTCTGTGATGAAGTTTTAAATCTGCCTTTTAGTCCCTCTTGAGGTTATGCAACTTCCCTATATTTTGCATTTTAATTCACATCAGGGAAAGGAATTGGATTGTATCCTCTTTTCTTTTTTTGCAGATGTCACAGATAAGCCTTTTCAGATCCCTGGTCTCTGTGGAAGAGCTGGAGTTGCTTGATAACATTGCATAGATTTTAAACCAGTTTCTCATGTTTTTTTCAGGAATCCTCACATTGTGCTGAATATTGATCTTGCACCCACCATTCTAGATATTGCTGGATTGGATATTCCCTCTGATATGGATGGTAAATCCATTCTAAAGCTTCTGGATTCTGAGAGACCACTGAATAGGTAAGAAATGAAATGTGCCTGGAAACATGCATTTGTTTGTATGGGAGATTGAGCAAGTATTCAGCAACATGCAGCAAATTTAAAGGAAAATATACTAAAATTACCATTTATATGAGTACATCATTCACTGACTGCTTGGCAATTTGTGACTGACCTTAGTTATTTATTTTCATTTTGTCAGGTTCATATACTAGCTATATGGCATCTAGATATGCCGAATGTAATCTTCATAGCAGTGAGAGGGCTACACAAGGTCTTTAGCTATATGAGTTATAGATTTTAAGTGTCTCTATGGCATCATTTGTAGCGAAGTATTTCAAATTGAATAAATTGTAAAATAATTGAGGTGAAAGGGTTTGTTGTGTGAAAAAAAAAGACTGAGGAAGAGAATTAAAACTGTATGCTTGCTAGGGAGAATCAGCAGAAAAAGGGAAGAAGGAGATTTGCTTTGCAAGTAGCTGTATGGAGGGAGAGGGGGAAAGGAGCAGCTGCTTTAGAATAGGATACTTTGTGGATAGTTTGTAGGTTAAGAGCCCGAACTGGAGTCAGGAAATCCTGATTTAATTCGTGATCCTTTGTGATCAAGGACAATTCAGTTAATCCCCTGTGCCTTAAACATGCTTATGTTGAAATAGCTGTACTGAGTGAATCTGTTGTGGATTTTGTCCCTGTGAGAACAAATCTGTCCTGTGTTTGCTCATTTATACTGGAGAGGCATATGTGCCTGCTTCATAAAGCTGGATGTCCCCATGTAAAATTGTATTTAATGTCTCTTGTCTGACTTGGAAGTGGGAGTGAAAACTAGGGCAGAACTTGATTATTCGTTTTGTGGGAACTGCTTCTTCCTCTCCTCATTTCCTCCTAGGTTCCATTTAAAGAAAAAGATGAAGGTATGGAGAGACTCGTTCCTAGTGGAAAGAGGGTAAGGAAAGTGTTAATCACAAAGCCAAGTCTTTTTAAATAGAAGGATACTGAATAGCTAAAGCCAAAGCAGCACTCTACCACAGACCTAAAGCCATTTAGCTGTGCCAGCAGGGACACGGCTGCAGTATGCCTAATGGCAATAATTGTGTGATAGGAGGAAATGTATGGCCTTTGCCTACAGCCTGCATAAGTGCACTGTTGGGGTGGGGGAAGGGAAGCTTTGCTTGGATTGAGGGGTGGAAAAGGCATCCTGTTTTTCTTTCAGCTGCTGCCCTTCACCCTCCTGCTTGTGTCACGGGAGTATGAATAACCCTTCCTCTATCTGTGTTCACCTGCTGGCCATTCCCTCTGTGCCTCTGCCTTAATGCATAACATAGAGCACGAAGGGTCTGCAAAGTGCAGAGTGAGGAGGATATGGTTTCTTTATATTGACTGTTGCTATTGCCTGCCAATCAGACGTGAAATGCACTGTCTTGGGTTTGTATGTTTTTGTACAGTCCCTGAGAGCATGATATGAATAACTTGTGTGTTATCAGAGATGATGATACATGCTAGTATATCTACTGGACTATTAAGTTTTGCCCACCAGTGATGCTATGGACTTGACAGATAATCTACACCTCTGAACCTTTTCACTAAACTCTATGTATGTCTTAGAATTAATATTAATGTAAAAATATTTTTTCCCTTTTCCAGTAAACTGCTTCATAAAAGGGAGAATGAGAAGGTAGATGCCCAAGAGGAAAACTTTCTACCCAAATACCAGCGTGTAAAAGACCTTTGTCAGCGAGCTGAATATCAGACAGCTTGTGAACAGCTTGGCCAGGTAGGGCATTGTAACCCTGACTGAAAGTAAGCAGTTGTAGTTGGGCTTAACTGTGACAATGTTCTTCACCTTGTCATCAATGCTAGCTTACAAATCAAATGGCTCATTCTGTGGCCTTTGCTCAGAACTGTATTACAGCATTTATGAAACTGGCTGTCATTCAGGAAATTGCTGATTCAAGTGCCTCTGTATTGATTCCTGACTACTGTTAAGAGAACTGCCTGGGCTGTTTTAACATTTTAATCCCCAAATAGAATGCGGTCTGAGATTCATTAGTGATGAGAAGGTGCAAACTTAACAGATTGGCCTCTTCCAAATTTAATTTAATTCATTTTGTTGTTATTATTTATAATTATGTATGCCAATGGGAAAATAACATTCTAGGAACTCAGTATATCCCTCTTCTTATCAAAAATATGCTGTGAAAAACATGAAGTTATGACTTCAGGCAGTTTGTGTTTATATGGGCACAGAAGTCTTTCATTGTGTGTCATTTCTCTTGTTCTTACATAATGGTTCTGGGCAGATGTGAAAATACGTTCACTTTAGATCCAAGTTATGTAGAAGAATTGGGGAAAAAACCCACTTAGAGTAGTATCAAAACATGGCCTCAGTGCAGGAGAATGTTTTGCAAAACCAGAGCAGTGCAAAGGTATAGCAAAGCAATCTCCAGCAGCTCCACTCTTAGGGGAGTTCTCATCCTGGCAAAATTGACTCCGTGCTGTTGCTTTTTCATTCAGGTACTGGTCAGAGTACCCCCTTCCAAGGACTGTAATGCATTTTGCCTGTGGACATGGATGTGTCTGTTTTAAGGTTGGCATTACCTGGCAGCTCAGAATAAGTTGGTCTCTGTATAACTGTTCCTACAGACACAATCTCAACAGCTTACCAAGGCTATATGCAGTAATGGGCTACTTAGGCTACAGTAGCTCATTTTCTACTGTTGGAGGCCAGGCTCCCTGCTTCTGCCTCTACCAATCATTTCACAGTGCACCTGTGAAATGAGTCCATCGTTCCTTAGGTGTTTGGATCCAATTTATACATATAAGCATTTTCCAGATGCTGTTTGCCTCCTGTGGCTTCTTTGTCAGATTTAGTATACAAAGAGATTATAATGTCCTATTCTTCGTAAAAATACTGAACTTAAAGAAGTATTTTGTGCAGTGGTTTATTGTCATCAGATGTCTTGAGCTGAAATTTCAGATGGGTGGGAGCAAGCCATTGTTTTTTGAATTCACAATGTGCTTTGGGAAACTGGGGGAAAAGTCATTGTTTCTGCTACAGCATCATCAGTAAGTAGTTTGGGGAAATACAGCTTTTCTTTTTCCATCAGTATTTTCCCTTTGGGTGGTGTTTCAACCTCTTCCTTTTGTCTTCATCATCCCAATTATTTTGAACACTCTTGTAAGAAGAGAGGGAAAGAGAGACTTTCCAAGTCCATGTTGTCACTGAAGCTGTCTCTTTGCATAAGGTAACTTAGCTACATTCAGGCTTTCTTACTCTAATTACCACATGTCTCAGTTATGGAAGGAAGGGGGAAGTCCCTATATTGTCTATGTGCATTCAGAGGCTTAAGTTTTCTTCCACAGATAATAAAGTATCTTTGACATCTGTGAAAAGTGGGCATAAAATGTCAACTCCGTACTCAGAATTGGCGATAAACTCGTAGGTGAAGGTGTGCTAATAAGAGATGTGTGTGCTGCATCCTCATTGTCAGGAGACAGAGAGGAGAAGAATTGTTTTGAGCAGTTCAGTCAGACATAATTGGAAGTGATAGGATGAAATTGAGCAAAAAAGAAATTTAAGTTGGACATCAGGAAAAATTGCCTAACAATCAAGTAATTAGAGCCTGGGAAGGGCTCTCAAGGGAGGCTCAATCCATCCAGCCTCTGCTCTAGAGAATATGTCCTAGTAGTCTGTCTAGACAGCAGGAATAGTGGGAAATTAATGTGCTTATTTGAGGATAAATTGCACGTAAATATGGGTGCACCCAAAAGTCCTTTCAGAGCAAAGCAAGACTTAATTTCTCAGATGACAAATGGGTGTTGTCTGTTTGCTGGTGCTGTTCACAGCTCTGCATAGTATAGAACAAGTCCAAATGAATAACATAGTACTGCCTTGTGGGGGTTTATGGTATACAAATACAGTGGTTATTTAGCAGATGTCCCCTGATCCTGCAGGACACTTTATGATTGTGCATTTAACAGTATCTGGAGTGTTCAGTGCAAAAGGTGAATTTTCATATCCTGGTGCAAAGATGAACAGAAGTCTGGGTCAGAATTAGGTGAAGCTTGGTAAAGTCATTTGGACCCTTTCTTTTGACTTAAACAAGTTTGGGGGGGCTGCTATTCTGTGCACAGAGGAGCCTGAGCAGTGCCAGGGAATCAAGTGTGAGCAGGAGATGAGAAGGACAAAGACTCAGAAGGGAAGTGAATGAGAAGAGATGAGGACAGAGCTTTTAGAGTAAAGGAGAGGTAAAAAAAAGCTTTGAATGTGAGATGGAGATTTTGAAATTCCGCTTTGTGAGCATGCAAGTTTGTGAATACAGTTCTATCACCACAAAATGCTCTTCCTTTGCAAATCTCTGCCACCCTCCTTGACCTATAATCGTTTTGATAAGAGAGCACCAGGATCATGGAGATGAGGCTATTCATGCTGTTTAAAACCCAGTTTCAGAGTCCATTATGTGGGATTTTTTGGGGGGCAACGCTAATATATGTAAATACTTCTGAGTGCAATGGGAATTTGTGTGTTGCCATGTTTTCTTTTTCAGTTAGAAGGGCTTGGTCTGTGTTACTTATTTGCATCCAACAAAGGGTGACTGTAGGCTCAGATGAAAGAGCAGCTCAGCATTTATATTCAAGGATTTAAAAGAGATGAGCTCTTTCTTCCCACATGAAATAAAAACATTTATCCTAGTACCTAATGGCTTCCACACAAATTTTTTCTCTTCAGTGTAGCTCGGCCTTTCATTCCAAACTGGCTGGTAAGTGGAAGCTGACCCACTTTTATCTGGCGGCCTGCATTAATGTGCTTTTGTGAAGCCAATTATGATATCAGCATTGCTTGGTAGAGTATTCCCAGCAACTCCTCAGTATCATAACAACAGCTGCACAAAATCCCCCTCTAAGTCATTTGCCAACTTTGAGCACATTTGAAAAACATGCAATACCTGCACCAGTGCTGATTGCTATAGGGAATCTGTGCTGTATGTGTGGAAAAAAAAAAAAACACCCCAATATTAGTTTTGTCTTTAGCAGATCATAGTATGATAATATTGCTTAATTGTGAAGAAAAATAGTTTGTCTTTTTCAAATCCTTTTTATTTTCACAACTCTCTGTGCAAATCTTATCCAAGTAGAATATCGCTTTAAATAGCATTTAAAATATCATTTTATAGCACAGTTTGCGCAGGAAAGCATTCAAAATGCAAAACTTTGCACTTAGTTTCCTTCAGATATTCTGCAAAGGAAAGTTTGACAGAGTCTTCCCTCTGATTGCTTTGTGATGTACCAGGATCATGAAGGGATATTCTTTTGCAACTGGCATGAAGGTATCAGCAGTAAAAGCATGTCACCCAGTTCTCTGACATAGCATGGGACAGCAGTGATGAAAACTACTCTGATCAGTGTGTGCTTTCCCACAGCTATTTGTAAGTGGTACCTCTAGACCATATGCCTGCCAATGGCTAGCGATGTTTATTATTAGCCATTGCTTAGTACCAAGGGTAGAGCAGCAGAAAAAATTACTTATATTTTTCTTCTTTTCCTGAGGGCACTACACCTTGAACTTCTGTCAGCCAGACCTAAGAAATGAAGTCAGGTTTTATAAGGAATTTCTTTAAAAATTGAGCAAAAAGTTTTTGATTTATCTTTTGTGGTTGTCTGGTTGTTTTGTACCTAGCAGAGATATCCTGAGGTTACTCAAGAATGTAAGTTCTGTTGATAAGTGAAGCGTATCAAGGCAGCTAGAGTCCAGATAATTTTAATAGCTCTTTAGGCAGATGGAGTTCCTGAATTCCAGTGTGAGTTGCACATGCTCAGCAACTTTCAGGATCAGGTTCTTAACCTCTGATTGCAACAAGAAATGACTTGTTGATAACTTCATACATTAAAAATTTTATCAGCCCTCAAACTGATAAAATTAGGAGGCAACAAACCATGAAAATTAAAATCATGATGATTTATTAAGGCTGTTATTCAGGGATTGTCTTCCTTATCAGGGATTGTAATTAACAAAATTGTTTTCCTCCTTCAGCCAAAAATAGCCTATAATGATTTCCAGAGGCTATTTTATTATGTGGTTTTTTGCTTGTTGTTGCTTCACAAAATGAAGGAATTTCCATCTCTTGTTAACTGGGATTTTTAAACTTCTTGCCATTACAGCAGTGGGTGTTGCAAGTAGCTTGCCAAAATCAATATCAACATTTAATAAAGCCCCCAAATTCTTTAACTACCCCAGTATGCGAAGAAGTGTAGTTTAGTTCAGTTTAGTTTAGGCAACGAGCTGGAGATCACAAGACTGACTTTGGTCTCAGAACTGTTACAGAGTCCTTGTGGGACCTCAGACAAATTGATTCCCATTTTGGTGCTGCTGTTTTTTTCCTCCACCGCTAATGTAATTTCTGCTTGGGCTGCACTCCTTCTGCAGTACCTAACACAGCAGCTGGGACCATTTGATGCCACAAACCAATTATTATATTAATAATAAATGAATTATAATTGTAACCACAATTTTAGCGGAATACCTGATTTTTCAGGTTGATTGTCCCACCTGCCTCGTTTCAGCTGCTGTTTGTGGCATTGAAAAGCACCCTCCAGGTTTTCTGTCAATAAATTGTTCATCTGTCTTAGAATTTTAAGGTTCAAGTGATCTGTAGTGTGTGACAACTGAACTTGAGCTGGGAGCCCAAAGGTCTGAATTGCCAAAAATGATGAGTCGGTGTAATGAAATAATGTCCAGTTAGAATGAAGACGAGGCAGTGCTATTTAGATATTGCATGACATAGAGGAATCCAGGCTCTTGTTGCCAATAGATAAACTAGAAGAAGGTATGGGGAAACCCAAACAAAAATGTTAAAAGATTAAGAAAATAATACCTGTTGGGAGGAGGTAAGGAACTGGGCATATTCTGTCCAAAAAATAGCTGAGGAGAGAGGAACCTGTCTGCATGAACCTAAGAGATGTTATACAGAAAACATGAGCCAATTATTTTCAGTCAACAAGGACAGAGAAGCAGTCATGTGTAGGAGACAAACAATGGGAAATTTAAGTTGACTGTTAAGTCTGTAAGGACAAGCTGCCAGCAGAAGCAGTAGAACTGCCCTCTGTAAGGAATGGGCTTGCTTCTGTCTTTGGCTTTTGCTCTTTTGTCCTCATTAGCCCAATAAAAAATAACACAAGGAGCAAAACCACAACAAAGGAGAAGAGCTTAACTGTAACTTCAACTGTTTCATACAACCTAAACTGTACTGTTTCATACAATGAAAAATGTATCCTTACTACTCATAAATCAATTTAGACTGGAAGTCAGAATGTTTCTAGCCATCAAAGCAGCTTCTGGCTCGCCATCCAGTGTGGCAGCAAGCGTGGGGTTCAGACAGCATCCGCGTAAACTAAAGGTGTCGGATACTGCTGAAGTGTTTTTGTCAGGTTGCTGGCAGGGACAGAGGGCTTTATTATCCTGCAGAAACTTTGATTCCTAGAGGCTGTGTTCCTGAAACTGCTAGGGAGGGAGCCTTGCTGGCAGCTGACTGATCAGACAGTTTCACTTTTCCCTTCTCTGTAAAAGGGAATGGAATCTCTTTCGCTTAACAAAAAGAGGAACTGATGAGACGCAGCATGATGATTTAGGGCTCAGCTCTGAAAACTCTATGTTTCAACTGGAATCTTTTCTTAGCAAGGCTTGTGTGATCATCCCTTTTCCTCCAAAGAAAACAATGTCAATTGAGAGAGATTCAGTGAAATGAGTGAATTGCAGGAAAAAAATCCTACAGGGAAGGTCACGGCTATTTATTTCTGATTGGGGCCTCAAGTAATGACTTTGAATTAACATCTGTGATTGCTGTAGCAGTAAGAAGACATTGATGCACAATAATGCAAAACCCACTTCATGGTGATGGGGGCTGTGAAGGAAATAATGGGGTTTTGACACAGTGAAAAATACATGTCTTTTTCTGCTGAGGGGTCATTAGCATGTTCAAGGTGAATAGTGTTACTGGAGGAAAACAGGGCAGCTGTTCAGTCTACAACTGCTGCTGTTAAGATTCATGCTTCACAGATATTGAAGTCCTCATTTACTCTTGTGTTTACTCTTGTACATAGAGCAGTAGTTTGGGCTGGAGGGGAGAATGTATGTTACAACCTGTATTTTTTTTTTTGGCTTTGCAGTATATCTTTGAAAAGATTTCTGTTCAGTAACACCAATTTCTCCATTAAACTAAAGCCCAGACTCTTCTGCTTTGCAGACAAATAACTGAGGAGCATGTGTTGTGCAGTGGGAGGTAAGGTAGAGGATGGAGTAGAAATGTTAGAACAAGCCCAGCATAGTAGGTGGCAGAAAGCACAAGCACAGCAGCTAACTTGGCCTGCCCAAAGATGGTGGGAAACCTCCAGCTGGAAAGACTCTAATGATTAAATGAGGTGTCTGGAAAGTTTAGCACAACGTGAGCTTGATGGACTTCAGGACATATTGCAAAAGCCATTTATATGATGGCATGAGTAGCTGTTCTGCAGGGCTTAGCGGGAGGAAAACAAGGGTCTTCCTTTGGAGTTTTGATATGAGCTGAGAGAAAGATTGTGTGGGAGTCTGGGTTTTCCACTGACTTTTATGTGTATGGAAGTGCTCTCCTTTTCCAGACTTAGCTCTTGCAAGATGTTATGAGCTATAGGACTTGAATTAGGAACACATCTTTTGGCCTAATGAGGAAAAGACCTGAAAAGTTAGGGGCAGGTGGTGAACTAAGGGCACTTTGTTTTCCTGACTGGCTGAGTTAATCCATGTATGTAATTAAGTTTTGCTGCTGGATGGTTATCATTCATACCTGTGAGCCAAAGTATCTCTGGGGCACTCCAGAGTTCTTCATACAGCGATTTAATTATTTATGTGATTACCTCTTACAAAATAACTTAGTCGCTTCTAGGCTTTGACACAGGTTTCTGCATGATTGTATGCTGTGCAGTAGAAATGGATTTCAAATGCCAAAATTCACAATGCTTAAAGCTTCTTGACTGTCAAGCTGAGGTTTCCACAGTTCCCTTGCAATTGCTGTCCTTTTTCCTAAGCTTGAAAGCATCCTGTGGAAATGACTGAAATTAATATAGACAATTTGCATTTGTACCTACAAGCAAACCAAGGGGGGGTTGTTGAATCCCAGATACATTCACACTATTCTGGGGAAAAAGTAAAAGCTTGAGACTTTCCTTTGCCCTTTCCCACCCCCCATGTGTTCAGTGTTTGCTTCTGGAGTCATTTATGTAGTTCTGCACTGTGGTTGTTCGGCAGTGGGCCAGTTAATGCATACAGTGTGCCCTTCCAGCAAAGCCTTTAAGGTGTTTTCACTGTAGCATACGGCTGCCTTGGAAAGATTTAAACTGCACCAAAAATTAAAGGATTTTTTCCAGTTCACCTGGAGGGGAAAAATGAGCATCACTTTTCTTGACAGGAGATGAAAGAAATAGAGAAAAAATATTGTTGGGCCACACATCAGAGCACTTATTTACAGTAGTTCTCCTCATGGCATTTAACTTGCCCTCTGTTGAGTCTTCATTTTTCATGTATCAGACACCTACAGCATAGAGCTCTGCTGAGCAGAAAATGCAGTTTGTTCATATGCTTTTAAAAATAAGATTCAGGTGAATTGAAATGGGAAACAGCAACAAACATTTTTACATCTTTTTTTCATTGTGAAAGAAACCATTGCTTATTCTAGTCAGTAACTTTTCCTGCAAGCCTCACTGTGCGTCGGTCAGTGTTAGGCATTTCTAAAAAATAATAAGTTATGGCTCAGCAATTTATTCTTCAAAGGCTGTTTTTGTTCTACACTCTCTCTAGGTAAATGTGTCCTGCTTTCCTGATGAGGACAGTCGTGCAAAGATGTCTGATTCAGGTGTCTTTGTCAGTATCTCTTATTGATTTCCTTATGCTGAAAGTTAAGCCAGGTTTATCTGCATCAGTGCAAAGTTTGGGTGATCCAGGAGGCTGAAAACAGTATCTGCACCTAAGAAGCAATTACACCCCTGGAGACTTGATATCCAATTGTCTGAGGAAATAAGTGGGCACACCATAAAACTGTTCATTTTAAATGAGATGCTCTCCTGTGGACATAGAGAAATCCACTGTAACTGGCCAGTACACTTCTGACTCCTGTTAAATTCTGTAGTATAAAAGCACAATGATACTATTTTCTTGCTTTGTTGTCATGCAAACAATGGAGTGAACTTCAGTGGAGAATGTGGGCTTTGCTGTCTCAGCCTGGGTACACCTCTATGGGAACTGAAGTGACTGAATCTGCTGTGTAGAGCTGCAGGCTGCAGAAAAATGCCATCTCACCTGGGAGCTGTTGCTGGTTTTCCTTCTTTTCTTTTATTTGGAAAATTTTCAGTATTCCAGTGACTCCTGGAGGCACAGACTTAGGATGTTGCAATAGGGAAAAGAGGAACGCCTCTCAAGACTCAGCAAAAAGCTCAAGTGTTTCTGAGGCACTCTGTTTAAAGCAGTAGCAACTGATTCTGTGAGGGGGGGATTGCTCATCTCAAAGCCTAGCTCTGTAGCTAGCAGCATGTTGGTAAATAAAGGACTAGGTGAAATTATTTAGTGATGTATCTGGGAAGTGGGTGGAACTTCTGTGCCAGATTGAAGGTGGCTATAACTCCCTTGCCCTTGGCACAGCTCTGAGAGCAGCACACAGGAGCTATAAGCAAGTTACTTCAGGTTTTGAGTAACAGAAGGAGTTGGAGATTAGAGAGGAGGTTCTCTGTAGTCTTGAGTGGAAGAGGGAGGGGGTTCTCACTTCATAGGCAGCCAGCACAGCTCACCAGTGCTAGTCAGCCCAAGGGTGTTGGATGGGAAAAGCTGCTAAGAGCAATATGGAGATAAATATGGAGACTCAATATGGAGCTAAACCCCTCTAATTACAGACTTCTATAGCTGATCCAGCCATACCAACCCTTCTAAAGGTCAGTGACGAGAAACAAGCACTTCTGCAAGGCAGTCCTGTTTCTTACCTCTTTTATATGGCTGCCTTAGGTTGAAGGGAATTATAACCTGGAAGTAACTATTCCTTCTCTTTGATTGTAGAGTGAGTCTAAATACCCAACTCAGATCAGATCCTTTACAGTAAAGGAATCCACAACTTGGATAAAATCATCCCATCACCAGTCATTTGAACTAGGGAAGAGGAGACTCCTCCAAAAAGATTTTCCCTTCTTGTAGAGCATGGGATGGGGCTGAGATGGGGTGCAGGCCACAAGCTTGGTTTAGTGGCATAATAGTGACATAGATGCCTGCCAGCCTGACAAACACACTTGCTGGTAGGCAAGGATTCTTTTCAAACCTGTGGGTAAGGCTTGAACCTCCTAGATTCATGCCACAGTTATTCTTCTGAAAATTGTCACTTGTGATCTCCATATTTCTACCTGTAGTACTGATTCTGTTAAGAAATTCCCATTGTTCTGCCTCCAGGAAACAATCAGAAACAAATGGAAGTGTTGCAAAGAGTTCCTGTTTTGCCTGAAAATGGAAGATTACGAAAAATGTGGTTTGGTAGTAGGTGATAGATGAGCCCCAGCTTACTACAAGGAGGAGTCTCTGATAGATTGCTGGAGCTGGCCATTAGACAAAGCACAGTTGGGACAGTTTTAATGACCAGATTTTTCTTCCAGAAATGGCAGTGTGTGGAAGATGCCAGTGGAAAGCTCAAGCTACACAAGTGCAAGGGAATGGCAAACTTGGCAGCTGCCAGCAACAGCAAAGGCACCTCCAATATTTTGCCCAAGTATTACAGCAGGAATAGTGAGGACTGCAACTGCGAAGAGAATGAATACAAGCTGAGCCACATTGGACGGAGAAAGAAACTCTTCTCCAAGAAAAGTAAGTGACCCACTGTATCTTCTGTCTCTGCCTTGGAAAACTTAGGAGTGTGTTCACTAGAACATGCAATTGTCCTGGTTTTCAAAGGCACTGAATTCTATCAACGTATGTACTGTGTAAGTTTGAAAGAGTGTGTCTCATATTGGACAATTAGATTTGAAAATATCCCTGTCTGTAGGGAGGAGGAGTGTTTTGATCCAAAATAGGGTTCTGTATTTATGTCTTTTGAAGCTGGGGAATGGAGTACACACACTGAAGCGGCAAGTAGCCCATTGTTATATAGGCTATGAAACATGAACAGTGTTTTACAGCAGATAGCCCAGTTTTCAGTAGCTACTGCAAGGCTTGGAGCTGTTACTGCAGTAATTTCTTTTTAATAAGGATGCGTGTGCTTTGTCACAGAAGCTGCTCACTCCTAAAATCCTTTCCTTGTGCTCAGTCAGCAGAGACAAGGCTGACTTTTAACCAGCGATCATGTCCAAAGAGGATGACTGTTTCTAGTTTCCTTGGCACAGATCAGGTGCTTTTTCAGAAAGCCTATTTCACTGGCTCTGGGTTAAACCTTAGTCAGGCTAACATCTATATTTGAAGTACGTAGTCTAATTATAGACTAAAGAGGCAAACGGCAGCACAGAATTATTATTCACTTGTAATACTTCTTTCGTCTCACTCCACAAATACAGAGCCTTAATTATTTAGCAGATTAGTCTTTCTGTATAATGACCTGGCACAAGCTTCAAACAGAGAGTTTAAATTGATTTTCTCCCATTATATTTGCCTTGCAAGCTGATTAGTACCTACTAATCTAATTTTTAGTTGAAAAAAAATTATTGGTTCCAGGATGAAATTACTCAACTGTACTTGGGGTTTAACTGCGTGGCCCAGCAGATGATCTTTAAATAACACTAGAACTTGCAGTTGAATTAACTCTTTTTATTTTTAAGTCACAGAGAAGAAAGTTAGGTCATGGGGAGTCAAATAACATAAGTAGATCGAAGGCACTTAAATGAGAAGAGGAAAACAATTTAAGTGAGGGTAACATAATGCTATCTGATAATACTTAACACTTAAGTATGTTTCATCAGTGCTTCCTAAACATTAACTAATTTTCACAGCATCCAGGGGAGGCGGTTAAGTGTATAATTACATTTAGTTTATGTATGAAGGAGGTTGAGATAAAAAAGTGAAGGTTGCTGCCTCTAGCAGAGGAATCAGTGGTGTTTATTTCCCCGTATTTTGCTCAGAAGAGGCAGAGTTTGTACTACACCTTCAGCTCATTGAACTGTTAGGCATAAACTTAAGCAGCATAAGAGAGGGTCCTGTCAATCATGTTCCCGTGGCTTGTGTCTTGAGTAAAATAATAGACTCCACAGGTGCTTTGGTTTTTCCCCCATCCAGTGTGTGCCATGCAGTGGAAGAAGTTGGCTTGGACCTGTTGACAAAGACTCTTTGATTTGGTGTTGGCTGTTCTTCCACTTAATAAATGACATGCTGAATGGAAATGAGCACAAAGCAATAGAAGTCAAGGTACCACACCAAGGCTTCTCTGTACAGCTTACCGAGAACAGTGGCTCGCTGGTTTGTGAATGGCAAGAGGGGGACTTGGTTACTCATAATGTATATTTGGATTTTTATGACCCATTCCATGAGATTTGTGATGAAGTGCAGCTGTGCTGGGTTGCGTTGTTCTGAGGGCATCTTTGGAGTCAGCTACTCAGAATTTGGTGGGTGCATGGGATCAGACTGCAGGCATATTTGAGTGCTAGTAAATGCTGTTCATCAGGCTGAACAATAGCTAAACAGAAAGCCAAAGTTTCAAACTGGGTTAGGGTCACATCCACATTAATGCTTTAGCTCACAGCAATAGGAAACACCCTGATCGCTCCCTTCTGTCATGCACAATAGAGATGGATTGGCAGAGAGCAATTTTGATGGATTCTAATCTACAGTCATTTGCAGAAAGCTAAATTGGATGCCCTGCTTCTAGGGTGCATCCAGCGTGTTACAAACCCTAATGGGGGTATGAGGGTTGGTCTTTCAGAAAGATTAAAACCAGTCATATGTAGTGAGAACGCGTGGTCTTAAGACCAGGCTGAATTGCTGATAGAGGGGCTGGAACACCAAATGTTTGGATAAAATAATTACTTTCTAATGCAAGGATGGCGCAGACCCATTGTCAGGTGCTCGGGTGCATTTAGCAGGCAACGGTGTTTTCTAAATTGAGTAAAGCCAGTTGCAGCACCGGGTCAGGGCCTGCCATTTGGGCCATATACAGATACACAACTCACCTGCAAAGCTTTAACATGCTAGAAGCACATAAGCCGTTAGTGTTTGGTGTATCTGGATGTAGGTGTCAGGAATGTTTGCATCTCTGTATCCTCTATTTTTTTGACTATGTTTTTATTTTTATAAGAAAGATGAAACAAAGCTTTGCAGTAGGAAGAAAGGTTAAAGTAATAGCTCTTAAAGTCTTTGGCTGTGTTATGGTCTGTTATGTTTTTCTTGCTACGGATTTAATCTCCTTATCCTGTGATGAACAAGTGCATGTGATTAAAGGAGTTATTAAGATGCATGTAAAGAAATGTTGATAGGCCACACAGATTTGTAAACAACAAACAGAAGTGTGTACAAAGGGGCTAGTGCATCTTCATTCCAATTTTCATGTCATTCCTTTTTGTTTTGAGGTGGTCTCAATGCTGGAGCAAAATGAACTTCTTTGTCAACAAAAAGAAAAGAACATCACTTACTTTAAAGATAGTGCATTTGAAGTGCAATTTTTAATGGCACTTGTGAGAAATTGGATGTAAGAAGGTGGTTTGGGGTTTTTTTTTCCTCTTTGAAATTTCTAAAGACACAGCTTCAGAATAAGATTTGTAGAGCTCCCAAGGTACATAATGGCCAAGAAAACACCTCTGAGCCTTCATCAGTCTTCCTAGATCCAGAGATATTTCCAAAACTTTGACTCCAAAGTGTCCGATTTTACTTTGGTGCTATATCAGAAAATGCTGCTTGCTACATAATTCTGGAAAACACATAGACATCAAGCAGGAATTCATGAGGCTGGTGGTGGGTATTTTCCTCATGGCACAAGTAGAAGCTGCATCCTTGCATACTGGCTTATTCTGTCATCATTGTGATGCTGGAAAATACATCAGGTCCAAAATACGTGCATAGAGCAAGTGTCAACAGGGAAGAGCACGAGCTGCCTTCCACAGTGCTCCTGCTTTGGGGAAAATGCCATAGAGTGCTTCCCAGTTATCCCTGAGAGAATTATCATTTCCAAGTGATCTCAGTCTTACGTGATTGATTTGGTGGCTGCAAAATAAGTGATAAGGCTTGAGTGACTTAAATATAAACTCAAAGGCTGGACATATTTATGTCAGGTATGAAATTGATGTTGCTTTATTCAGCTGGATAGATTGAGCAACACAACACAAAAGATTGTGTTGCTTTATTCAGTTGGATAATAATTTTGGATACTGCAGTTTGTGCTTTCTCTAGACAGTGTTGAAACCAAAAAATAGGGGTGAAAAATAATGTGTTTTTCTCTCTAGACCATGGTATAATCTGGCCCAGAGCAGAATGCTTCCTTTGAGGCTCTAGCAAAGACCGGTGTGAGTTTCAGGTGGCCCAAGAAGGCACGACTGGCTGCGTGGGGCACTGAAACATGGCTTGCTCAGGTGTAAATTTCTCCTGACTCATTTCTGAGGATGCAGCTCCTTAGCAGTGCCATCTCTAAGACAACTGGCTCCTGTAAGAGCAGAGGAAGAGGCATCAGGACTCACAGTTTACCAGAGCCAAGCTTTAACAAGTTGAAAAAGGGAGTAGAGGTGCTTTGGGCCAAATATTTAAGAGCCCCAGATCTGCTTTATTTGTGGCCTGTGCACCCAGGTAATGAATTGGAGAGGAAAACTTAAACCTGGGGGAGGATTGACTAATAAGTCATTAGAGGCTGGTATTTATGCCTGCAGTGCCCTTTGCAGGTGGGAGAGCCCAGCACAGATGAGTATTGATTTTATTAAGTATTCTAACCACTTCCTGTGAAAACGATGGAGTTTGGTTCTAGGGGCAGCTCTGAGTCAGCACTGGGGGGAGCACGTTGGAGGTGGAGATACACCGAGTCCTTCCTGCCCCACTGGAGCTGCCCCACTGCAGAGCAATTGGTTGGTTGGGAGGCTGGGTTGGTTTGGCTGCAGGGGAGGAGGAACTCCTGGCTTCGGTTCTGCAGGGACGTGTGCAGACGGCAGTTCCCTCAGGTATCTGCTGAGGTCCAGCATGCTGGATTGGTCTATTAGACTTGGAGGGAGGGTAAATTGTGAGTTGGCTGAGCTTAACAAGATGAAATGAGGGAACAATTAAAGAAGTGGGAGTTTATACATTGAATATAATTGTTAGGGTGTAGCTTTTTGGAACTTCCTCCTACTTCTGAAAAGATGGGAGTTTCCTTCTCATTTAGTCAAATGTTTCCTGAATGGGTGCCTGAAATAGGGTTGGTCTTTTGGGGTTTTTTTTTCCCTTCAGCAGTGACTCACCTGGCTTAATATCAGCAATAAACTCTGAACCACAGGTGGAAAATGTGCAAAGCCAGACAATCCAGCTGGTGTTCCACTTTCTGTGTGTGGCGCTGACAAGAATATAGTGTTTGGACCAAATTCAGGTGGGAGGAGATGTTTATTTCTCTTCCCACAGTCTGCAAAATGGCTCTTGAGACCTTGCGCTCTATTTGGAATTAATGGGGGCTTCTTGAACAAAGTCACTCTGCATTAATGCCAAAGTATTCCAGTTGATTATGCTTACTGCAATGAGTGACTCAGCAGTCATGGGCAGTGAGCAGGAAATAAGGTCAGAGATGGACCCTGTCATACAGCAGGGAAGTTTCGATATGGGTTTAGACTCCATAACCATATACGTTTGCATCACTCCAGACCAAACAGAAGAGGAGCTCTGGGGATTTGGGCTGGGTCAGAGAACTTTGGAAAGCAATGATGGGGGAAAGATGAGTGAGAATCTCCTGCTGTGTAGTGACAATTCATAGCAAATGTTGCCTTCTGCCTTCGGGCTGCAAGTGCAGAGGCAAAGTTGGCAGGAGTGCACAGCACTGGAGGGTGGTGTGTTGTGTAGAGACTGACTGGTCTGCGCATTAGGAACACACTTGGAAAGAAAAGAACTGGATGTGGCTAGAAGGAAAGGTTCGGGTATTAATCCCTCCTCGGACAGTCAAGCGTCTTACTTCGAATTGGGCTCAGGCTGAACACTGGGAGTGCTTGGGACAACCTCAGGAAAGTGCTGCAGGAATCCTTGTGTGGAGCTTTGTGCGGTGAAGAGCAGAAAACAGAAGAGAGCGGCCCTGCAAGGGTGACCTCAGGCCTTGCAGTCGTGACTGTCGCGGTTACTTGCTAAGGCGTGACTGCCATCTAGTGACTGTGCGGGGAAGAGCAGAGCCTCTGTGGGTTGCTCTCGAAGTGGTGCGAGACAAGGACGTTTTCTTTCCCCTCAGCCGTCCTTGTGCGTTTGCGTTGTATCTGCCCTCTCCTCATGCCCCAGGGTATGCGTCTAACCCTACGAAAGGTAATGGGGCAGCAGGCTCAGAGGGCAGCTGCAAGAAGCACCATTTGTCATCCAGTTAATTGTGAATGTAACAGTGTGGACTGTTTTTTCTTCCCCAGACCACCAAAGAGGACCAAATTGTAACATGATGTTTTTCCTCCTCTTAATCCCTTCACTTGCTTTTCCATGCAGAATACAAACCAGGCTATGTCCGGAATCGCTCTATTCGTTCTGTAGCTGTTGAGCTGGATGGAGCTGTTTATAATGTGGGTTTGGAGGATGGCTACCAACCTGTCATACCAAGAAACATCTCCAAGAGGCACAGGATGCAGAGGGCTGCTCTTCGTGAGGAGGAAGATAAAGACATGGGGGAGTACAGCGGCACCGGTGGCATTGCAGAGTATGCAGCCCCTAACCTGATAAAAGTGACCCACAGGTGAGTGCACGTGGTGTGTTTCTAAAAGCTTTTGCTGCCTTAGTGGCTGCTTTGCAGAAACGGGTGTGTGAGCTTGTGATCAGCATCTTGTGTCCCTTTTGGATACCCCGTCCAGCTTCTGTAAAATTCTTATTCTCATCTGTACATCAGCTTTCGGTTGTGGTTTAACTTTGTCACGTACAAAGGAGCAGGAAGCTTCTGAAGAGCTAGAGCAGTGCTTTTGTGTCTCCTGCACTTTGGAGTGCACAGTGGCTAAGCAATGCATGCTTCCAGTGAGGACAAGCAAAAGGTGGCAGCAGTTGTGTGTGCCCTGGTGTGAAACCAGGAAAGGCTCTATCCATGGACCCAGGGTGCAGTGGGTCCCCTGGCCTGCCTGAGGAGCAAGGGCTCATGTCGCTGAGACGTGAGATTCTTTGTATTTCATACACTGGTTTGTATTTCAAACACCAAACTGATCCTCAGGGAGGAAATAGCCTCTTGCAGCTTCCTGCAGGGCAGTGCTAGGAAAGGAAAATGGGTATTATGAATGAAGCTGGGGAGACCGGGAGCACGGGGAAATGAAACAGATTGAGAGAGAGGTGGGGTAAATGTCTGGACACTAATAGTTAAAAACCTTTTGCTCAGTGTGCAAGTCTAGGGGTTGATGTGTCTTCAGCTGTGCTTTATTGGTTTAGGCACCGTTTCTGCTTGTCATTTATCAGGATACCCACCAGTTATTGTTAAATGCATTAAATTGTTTAATGACTTGCTCATGGAAACATGCTGGAGCCAGTTAGCTCTGTGGAAATGGGTGGGTTCCATTTGACTTCGTCAAAGGGTTGACAGGGTTAGAGACTCCCTAATATGAGGAAGTGCACTGGGGAGATTCTCACCAGGGAACTGGGCCTCTTGCCCCAGCTCTCAGGAGTGTTCAGCACTCATAAAGCAATAGTTGTGCTTTTCCTCTGGAAGAAGTTAAATTGACTTTCTGCTGCTTTAGTGGATGAATCCCAAACCCATAGAAGGAGCTGTCAGGAACATTGTGCATAATACATGAGAACTCCCCAGAACACCTGAAGGAAGGGTGGCAGTGGGATAACATGGGTTGAGGTGGTGTAAAGAACATAAAGGAGTATTGAAAGTGCTCAGCTTTAATTGAAACAAGCATTCAAAATGAGCACATGGTATTTGTTAACTTGTCGGGTAAATCTGTCAAGTGCTTGGTTTCGGGTCGGTTTGGGGGCCTTCGGGGGGGTGGTTGTTTCTTGGGTTTATCAGTGTTTGGTTTTGAAAAAAGTGTAAATCCTGGATTGCAATGGAAGCTGGTTAAAAATAAGGAATTGTCAGAGGATTTCCTGCCTTTGAAGTCAGGAAATATCTCTGAAAGAAATCATCCTTTTTATAGGAAACAGCAAAATTTCTATTCCCCTCTCCCCCCCCTTTCTGGTGCAGTAATACCTCTTCTGAAGAAGTACTTCATCCTTGCCCTACCTCTCATCCCCTCATCACTTAATCATGCCCCGGGAAATTGCTTTGGAATAATGCTTTCAGTGCTTGCTACTTACTAGAGATTGTTTATGTAGCAGCCTAATGAATAAGCAAGATCTCTGCGCAGCACAATTTCCATACAGGAATGAAGCAGCCACCAGGTCCTGCTGGATAGGAATATTCTCCTCGAATTTTTCTACTTCTGACAAATTTCCATGGCAACTCAACCCCAAACCCCTTCCCTGACTCACAGCACACCCTGCTTCTCCTGAATGAACATTGGTGTTTTGAATTCTGCATGTCATTTCCAATCTGGCTTCTCATCTCTCCTGGAGCTGTGTTATTAAACCAGCTGTTCATGATGTCTGTGTGTAGCCACTATAATGATCATTGTTTGCTTTTCCCTGCCAAGGTGCTATATCCTGGAGAATGATACCGTCCAGTGCGACACAGATCTGTACAGGTCACTGCAAGCTTGGAAGGACCATAAACTCCACATTGACCACGAGGTCAGTGGTGGTCACAGTTGTGCCTTTGCAGGGTGGGGTTTTCTAGCCTGGATTTCTAAGGCTGACAGGATCATGCAGACTGTGTGTGTCTGGGTGCCTGCCTCTGGGTGTCTTTGTCCCTCCCTGGGACCTTGTGACCTTGCTGGCTGATTTCAGGATAGATAGTTCAGAGATAATGAATTGTTGTTACAAGGTTGAGAAGACAAGATGCTGGGTGGAGGAGAGCGCTGCAGCTGAGGGGAGAGCTGAGACATCTCAGAAGCCTTATGAGATAAATGAGAGACTTATAAAGTGTCCCCATCCTGGGAAAAAATTCATCTGGATCTTTTTCACATCTTATTAGCCCTGCTCCCCAGTGCACCTTCAGCTGCCAAATGGAAGGCCAAGGAAAAGGGAGCTTCAGTGGTTTCGGTGCTTCCAGGTTTATTTTGCTTGCTTGTGTTTTCCGTAACCCTTGCACTTTGGAATGGAATTGGTTGGTTTTAGGCTTGTGAATACGAAGACCCAGAAGATGCTTTGCCCTATGAAATCTCCCTGTAAAACTTCATTGACATCTTTGTCATTAAAATTTCTCCCCTTGCACATGTGCTGTAGAGCACAAGAGCAGGAGCCACAGTGGAACCAGCAGTGGCCGCCTGCCTGAGGCTGTCTCCCCACGCTCCCAGTGCCATGTTCTGCTGTCACAGCCAGTAATCCCAGCAGCAAAAGGTGCCAAGGAGGCTTCCTCCCGCTGCAGCTGCCTTTTGGAAAGGTGGATAATCTGTTTGTCAGCGGTGGGAGTCATGGAAGGAGGTGAAGAGAAAGCATTTGGTGACACAAGAATGGGCTGGAGCAGGTCCGGCTAAGACTGAATGGGGCTGTGTTGGTTTCACTGTGTCTTTGCTTTGGTTTAGATTGAAACTTTGCAAAACAAAATAAAAAACCTGAGGGAGGTGAGAGGCCACCTGAAGAAGAAGCGCCCGGAGGAGTGCGATTGTAACAGGATGAGGTATTGTGCACTTCAGAGTCATCGTTCGTAGGGTGCAACTGTTTGTTGTCACAGGAGAGATCGGGGTCTGTTCTGTTAAGTGGCTGCCTACTTACTGCACTCGCGTAGTGCTTTCTGGGGAGCTGGGACGCAGCACGAGTACAAAGCCCACCTCCACCAGGCAGGAGTTTATTTTAAGCTGTGGGTTTGTTCCTGAAATCTTGCTTTCAACAAGGGCAATTTGTCAATATGGAGCAGAGTTAACACTGATCTCTTTTAAAAGAAGGGTGTGTAAAGCATGTGGGATAACGGTGTGGGAAGATGGGAGAATTCCTTCCATTTGGGTTTTTCAGGGCTGGATGTGTTACCTCCTCAGATGCCACTTCTTTCTGTCACTGGTATAAGAGAATGAGGTTTTAAGCATAGCTCTTAAGTCCCTAGACCTCATCAGACATGAGGCACATGGTGGGTGTAGTCCATGTGGATTCTGCAATACAGCTTCAGCAACAGGCCACTAAAATATGGAGAACGTAATTTTTTGGGTTAGGCCAACCCATACACAGAACCCATGGCAAAAAAGGGTGTAAAATGAAATCAGTAGTATTCTAAATGGCAAATCTCCCAAAAGTTAACATTATCATCTTATAACCCACTGCTTTACACTGGTATTAACACTGAGTTTATTTAATACACGCTGTAAAGATGAAACTATTGTTATGGTGAATGGCTTATAGTAAATTTCAAGAATGCTACATTTCTCAGGCCCAATACAGGAAGCACTTAACATTTGTGCAGAGCGTTGTTAAGGTGCATAATGAAGTTAATCATTTCAGTTATAGATGTTTTAAGTGTTTGCAGAATTGCACTGAATCAGGTTTTAGCATTTAGGATTTGTTACTGGAACAACCAGGGTGTGTGAGAGACAAAAAACAGACTGAAGGCAGTTCTTTAATAATCTTTGTTAATTTTCTGTGTGGATTAAATGTATTCAATCTGCCAGGAGCATTCATAATTTAAAGGATTCATTTTGGTTTGAAGGGAATTTTAGTCTGACCATGTGCTGAGTTCTGAAGTTCTCTTTAGAAAATAACATTCACTGAACTTAGTTTGTCTTTGCTGATGTGTGTGGGGAGTAACCTCATCAGTCAGAGGGTGGTGCCAGTGACTGAAGCTGCTTTGTCTTTTTTTAACCTTGGAAATTGCACAGAAAGGAAAGTTCTGCAAAATCTTGTAGGAGTTTCTGCAGACAGAGCCAAAGCAGTAGAGCCGCCCAGCTAGGATGGGGATGCCTGCTCACAGCAGGTCAGACTCTGCTGTTGCGGGGACAGCTCCGTGTATCTTGTTAAAGTTTTCCTGGAAATTCTAGCTGGTAACAATGGAGGAACAAACCAACCCTATGAAGTACAGCTGGTATTTTAAATTCTTCAGAGGGAAAATGACATGATGGTGGTGTGAGCTCTCATTTTATCCCCTGCACTAACCATGACTGTTCAGTTGAGGAAATGTTGTAACTAAATTATAAAGCCGTTGCTTTTATCTGCCTCGTGTAGGGAAACAAGAACCAATGAGAACTAAAATCGAAAATTGTAGCTGGATTATGAGGACACCCGTTGCAATGCAGGATTGGAGCACCAAGTGTCGCTGTGCCCAAACGAGCTAAGGAAAGAAAGCGGCGCAAGGCTCAGAAGTGCCTGAGCCGGTCTGGCCAGGCTGCTTTGGGTTCATTGAATCACAAGAATGGTTGGGGTAGAAGGGAGACTGAAGAGCACCAGTTCCAACCCTCTGCCACGGGCAGGGACACCTGCCGCTAGACCAGGCTCCTCAAAGCCATGTCCAACCTGTCCCTGAACACTTCTGCCAGGGCTGGGGCATAAATTAAAGGGAGAAGTGACACTGGCTTCAATCTGCTCCAGCTGCACTGTGATGGGGTGGTACAAACGGGAGCAGTTGCTTTTCTGTTGTTCATCATCCATGCTATTTTTATTTTCCAGTTACCATTCCAAACACAAAAGCAAACTGAGGCACAAGGGATCTAGTCTTCATCCTTTCAAGTAAGTGAACGTCTGTTCCTTTGAAAGAGGAACTGCAAAGACATTATTACCATGTTGTCCATGCGCACCAGTTACAAACTGAGTAAAAGCAGTAGTATTTCATTTGTCCTGTATTAAAAAGAAGAAACACACAAAAACCTGTGAAGGAACATAAGCCCATGTTGAAATGCTTGTGAATTCTGAGGTAAGATTCCTGGTGTGGGAAATGCCACAGCACAGATGTCAGACAAGCCTATAAGCTCTTTTGGCTTAATTGGTTTTTATCTGTGCCATTGAATTGTGGAGTCATATCCAGAGCCATTTGGAAGCCATTTAATTAAAAACCACTGGTTCATTCTTTATTTAGTATCTATCTGTCTGCTTCATTATTTTTTGGTGTGTCTAAGTATAAATGAGCTGCATGACCTCCTGTGTCCTGTGTGCAGGAAAGCCCTACAGGAGAAAGACCGGCTGTGGCTGCTTCGAGAGCAAAGGCGGAAGAAGAAGCTGCGCAAACTGCTTAAGAGAATAAAGAACAATGACACCTGCAGCATGCCTGGTCTGACCTGCTTCACCCACGACAACCAGCACTGGCAAACTGCTCCCCTGTGGACACGTAAGGATGCTTTAAACTACGTAATGGGCAGGCGGGTACTGGCTAGGCTGGGCTAGGATGCTGGGCTAGTAGAAGTTACCGCTCTAAGTTCTGTAGCCAAAGCCATGAAGCCTTCCTCATAGTAAATAATCTGTTCCAGCGTTAGTGTTATCCTTGCACAAACGGCAACCGAGTTAAAAAGAAAACCAACTGCTAATACAAGCCTTAGAGATGATGCTGGGAACAGGACAATTTTGTGTAGGATCTCATTGTCTGGAATGTTTCCAGAGAAGCCAGGGGAAGCACCTTGCCAAGTGAGGCATGCACAGAACAAGAAGCTGATGCCAGAAGTCATTCTGTACTTCAGAGCTCAGGAGTGGGAGGGAGAGTAACTGTCTGTGAGTAAACCATAAACGGAAAGGCATCATAAACAGTGCTAAAGCCAGCAGCGTGTAGCTCATGACTTTGCAACTCTTCAATTTGCAGTGGGCCCTTTCTGTGCCTGTACCAGCGCCAACAACAACACGTACTGGTGCCTGAGGACAATCAACGAGACCCACAACTTCCTATTTTGTGAATTTGCTACTGGATTTTTGGAGTATTTTGATCTCAACACTGATCCATATCAGGTACCCGATCAGAGAACAGCTCAAGAAATACATCATTGTTCCTTATTGATGATAAAGTGAAATGGCATGGTAATGGTGGAGGACGTAGCAAAGGCCTAATTCATTTAATGTAGCATGATATGGCTTCTCTCCTGTCACAGATAAACCATGTATATTCCATATAAGAAAGATACTAGAGAACAGCAGTTACTAATGAGAATCCCCATTTATTGCAGCTAATTAACGCAGTGAATACACTAGATAGAGACATTCTCAATCAACTACATGTCCAGCTCATGGAATTGAGAAGCTGCAAAGGGTATAAACAGTGCAATCCAAGAACCAGGAACATGGATCTGGGTACGTGCCTCTCCTAGCACACTCAAAATGGGGCTCTTTCTTACTTACTGTTATGAAACTTCGCATCAGTCAAAAGGATTTTAATATTCATTTATACTGGTAGTGTCCTGCTGGGGCCGGTGGCTGCACGCTCACGCTTCTGTATTTGTTCAGTTTGAGGTAATGTTTCTTAAATTAAGAACAATACTGAAATAGGTTAGTAATGAGTACCGCTGAGATGCAGGGCAAAGAGATGAGGAAGGAACAAAACCCAAGTCCACCAAAGCCCAAAGTATAATATTGGTCTTATTTAGTACCTGCAGCACCCAGAGCTGTATGTTTTCAGATCAGACACCACTGAAAGTCATTTACAGAAAAGTTTTCAAGACTCCTTTCCCAGTTTACAACCTCTTTTGCCTGCAATAAGGGATTAAATGTGAGAATTAAAGCTCCAGTTACCATGTATGGAAATATTTCTCAAGGCAATGGATGATAATCTGTTAATATTCTTAGGTCTGGTTTAAGTTGCTTGTTACCTGATACCTTACTCTGTTGCAGGCAATGGTTAGTAACACTGTTAATTTTTCTTCACCTAGGACTTAAAGATGGAAGCTATGAGCAGTACAGGTATATTAAATTATTATTCTTTAAGTACTACCTTCCTGCCAAAAGATATAGGGGTGGGATCAGCAACCTCATGGATGGACACTGCCTGGAATGGCAGTTGTGAGATCTTTCCACCCCAGTTACTTGGAAACACTGGAGCCGTTTCTGTTTCAATGTCACAGCATGTTCTGATCTTTATAGTCAAAATTCAGGCTAAACTCTTCTTTCCTCGCTTTCAGACTGTAGTGCTGGTGGGTTTCTTGGTGATGGTTAACTTTTTTCTCCTTTTGCTGCTTGAAAACTAGGCAGTTTCAGCGTCGAAAGTGGCCAGATGTGAAGAGACCATCATCTGCCAAGTCACTGTGAGTTGGGAGCAGTTCACAGAAAGCGTTGGCTTTTACTTACCTACCTACCTTCCCTTCCTTTCTCTCCTTGCATGCGACACCACTTTCAACATCATCATCTCTTCTTCTGGAATGCTTAAATGGGAAATCCTCTACCTTGTACAGGAAGTATGATAGTGCTACCATACAGTCAACTACTGCTGTACAGAAACACTTGGTGCATGTTCTGGGAGCATCAAGAGCAAGGGCAAATAAGCAAAGGTGGATGCTCAGCTCAAGAACCCAGTTATGATTAATTGTCATTCAAAATTTCAGACCATTATGTTGATTTTGTCTAAATGCAAATCGGTAGCAGCTGCCTCGTGGTCTTTCACACCATCCAGAAAGAACAAAACTGACTGATTTCTCAGAGGATCATGTATTTTCTTGCTACTATTTATCCAACCACAGCAAAGTGCAAGTTAGAACAGGGAGTAGACTACAAGACAGATCCGTACCTTTTGTTTTTGTTTTATTCTGACATCATACTAAAATCTAAGTTTGCTTTTTACTCACTTCACTTAGCTACCTTGTAAGATTTGATAATACTGTTTTCAACTTGCCAGCGTCCAAAGGTGAGATACACGTTTAAAGATGTGAAAAAGTGACCTTTGCCATGCCAGTTATTGTCTCTGAATCTCCTCTTCAGAAGACGGTTGAACCATCAGCTCTTTAAAAATCATGAGGTGCTCTCCAATTGTGCAGTGAAAAGAGATGCACAGATACCTCAATAGGCACAGCCCAGCAATCCCAACTTGCCAGAGAGGATTTGCTCATTTAGTGGTAGTATCGTTAGTTGAAGAGACCCAAGACTGACTTTAGAACTAAAACAAAGGTAGAATTACTGAGATACAAGTTTTGTACGGGGTGAAGTTTCAGATATAGTTGGACTGTTTCTGTGATATACCTGCTGTAAGTTTTAGAAGGGGTCCATAATGTGTTTCAGTTGTTTTTTTGCTGCATGGAACCATGACAAATATCTAACTATTTCCTCCTAGAAGGACACTAAATCATGTTCTGTTGTGTTTTTCAGAGGACAGCTGTGGGAAGGCTGGGAGGGCTAACCTCCCCCAAGTGCTGCACCTCCACGAGGATACAGACTGGCCAGAACTTGAGTCCGTGTACAGACTAAATGACAACGTGTGTGACTTCAGAGAGAATTACATTAACCTGGAGGACTGGATAAACTTTGAGGCTGAACTAGATAGAATGTTTGCACTGGTGAGTGAACTAAATACCTGCAGTGAAATGATGGGAAATGCTGTCAGAAATACAGGTCTCTGAAATCCACTATTGTACCTGCTTTTTGCTTTGGATTATACCTCACCTGCTTCACAAGGCGTTTTACTTTGAGATGACACCACTAACACTGATCCAGGAACTGACAGCAAAGGAAACACAGCTACATCCCAGAGGATTCCTGCCCCAGCGCGCAGTGTGCGCAGGGACAGCGGATGTACACTTAAACCACGCTTCAGTTCACCTGTATCAGCAGTTGTCATGAGAGAGACTTCAAAGCAACATTTAGAAAACGTGAACACTTTTGCTTCTAACTGGAGATGATGAAAAAGAACTTGGAAGAGAATCAGGAACAAGTGAGCAGCACTGAACATTCTCAACACCATGGTATTTCTCAACTTCCCTCTGAGGATACATTTTAGTTCCACACCTACTTGTACATCCTATTGCCACCTCTAGGAATGTTAGGGAAAATCTTGACTAAGAGGACACCAGATTTTGGAGGGGTTATGTAAATATTGCTCAATATACTGTTTGAAAAGAAATTCCTTCAGGTTATGAAGAATTTTGTTAATAAAAAGAGTGGAATGCCCACACACCAGTTCTCCAAATGTCACTTCATGTCACATAGTGCATTTCAGGATTTCTCCGTTTTTAAAGTACTGAAAAATTTCAGTAAATGTACATCTTAAAATTTAATGAACTTGGATTTGTATGAAGTTTTTTTATGTGGTAATATTATATTGTATGTTCAAAACCAAAACGGTTCCTTTGAGAAAGCATTTGCTTGGTAGTGTAATTTTGACATTTATTTTTAAAAAGGCAGCTCCAAGAAGTTCAATACTTGTAGCCAATAAAGAATAATCTAGTTAAGAGTTTAGTCTACAAATCAGTAGATGTTCTGAACAACAGTTACTGTTTAAAGGCTTTTAAAGGGAACACCCCATCATTTTACTACAGAAGCACAGTGTACAGAGGCTACTTGAGTATTTTCATAAAGACGTTATTAAATACATTGTAGTACAGGCACTAGAGGTGATATTTGTATTTATACGTTTTTCATGTTAACCTGCTGTTTTCAAGGCACATGCAGGAGGGAGCTCGTGTGACAGACTTGACCAACTGTGGCCTTCACTCTTAACAAAGAGGTATTTATTTCCAAACCACAGATTTGACTTGCACTTCCAGAAACACCGTGTAAAGATACACCACCACAGACATGATTCTGAAACCCTGCCTGGCTTTGCACATCAGGAAATTCAAGTGGGATTACTTCATAAGGGACACAGATCTCTGATACCACACCCCCAGACTAAAAACATACTTGAATTTAGGAACTGAGGAAAAAGCCTCACTCCAAAAAGTGGCACTGGGGTCTTTCACTGGATGTGTTAGACAGTAAAGCTAGGCTGGAGCTTCTGTTCGTATCACATCTAAGTCAAACACACTTCCCAAAATTTGCTTCCCAGGTTTTGATTTTTATTTTTGTTTAATCTAAGTAATATACAATTGTCTGAATCCAGCCATGGATTTGGTTTCTGACATGTTACAGATTTCATGGATTATCAGAAACATCTCCTAGATGCTGAGGTCTATACAAATAAATAAAGAATACTGAATTTAAACTCAGCAGTAGAAACAGATTTGCTGCTTTCCAGAGAAAGGCACTTGCTGTCTGCCATCCCCCGTGAGTATGCACAGAGAACACTGGCTTAGATGGAAACAAACCTGCACTTACCTTTTTGTTGTGTTCAGCCTGTAGTCTGTGATGAGATGAGGGTGTGACTGTCGCAGTCCTGCGGGGCCAGTGTGGCTTCTCCTCTTAAGCCTGAGAAGTTGCCGTGTCCCTTACGCAGAAACCTGAGCCTTGGGCCTTGTAAGGGGGACACGGTGTAGCTGGTATTTTGTGAAAGGTAGGTTCTTACCAAGTTACGGGAAACCTCTAACCTCTTCTCCTCCAGCTCTGCTGAAGACTGCTCTTTAAGTTGAAAAAGACATAAATTCCACTTGGTGTCACTGCAACTTCAGTTGCTAAACGGGTCTCATAGATGCAAGGTCCAATTGCCGCTCCCTTAGCTCCTACAGTCAACTAGGAATTAAATCATTTGCTATACCCACCTTTCCTCAGTAATAGCACTGGATTTTCTCTGACCTTTCCAGGATACAGTTACCAGCCTTAAAGTATTGACAGCTAAAACACTGCATCACCAAGCTCTGATTTTAAATAGAAACCTTTATTTACATTATTATTAACATCCAAACACAAAAATCAGAAGAGCAGTAATACCTTACAACCAACTCTTTTATAGATCAGTCCCATGATTTTGTTTTGCAAAATAAAGATACAGATATTTCAAGCAATACTTATCATGTAAACTAAATTTAAATGCAATTCTCAATACTGTATGCCTTCTCCTGAGATTTTTTTAAATATTGCTCTCAGAATTCCATGTTTCATCTTGCTGTATTACTGTCATCTGGTAGTCTGCACAGAAATTCTAAAATAAAACATGTGCTAATTGGTACAACATTCAAATAGTTTTGTCTTATGACTCAAAAATGGTCCTGATTTGCTAACTTTAAAAGCAGTATTTTAGGCCAAGATTCAAAAAATAACACTACACATGAATTCTATAAAAACATGTTTCTGTGACCAAAAGAGTAGCAGAGATGTGTAGCATGACGATGCTCATGAGGCAGCACTGACCAGAGGTGGCTGTCCTTGCTAACTGTCCTCTTCCTGGTGAGAAATGGTACACAGGTTGGTTTTTAAGAACATTCAGAAAATCTGCTGCTATCGAACCAACCCAGAACTGGCAGAGATTAAATGTCAACAGCTTTCCAGGTCAGTTTTATTTCCTGCAGTGAGATTTTCAAGCTTGATGTCATATTTAGGATCAGTGCTGCCAGGAAAGATTATGAACTTTACCAAATGCCCCTCTCCCCCCCTTACTCAAGTTTAAACTAAAAATCTTTGGATTCAGCAAAAAAGTAAGTAAGTACTGGAAAGCGCCAACATTCTAAACACAGATGAGAAAACGATGGTTCTTTCTAATATCAATCAGTCAGGTACCAGTTATACACAGATGTATAAATAGAATCACTCATTTAAAAAGAACTAGAAGGGCTGGATGTATAAATTAGTAGATAGTCTAAGAGCTCACCTGATGAAAGCAACTGGGATTTGTAGTTTCCATCAATATCATGAACAACTACAAAATATAAAGATTGTTCTACTCTGATTTGATATAAAAAGCAAGGGATTGTTGCCTTTCAGCTTCAATAGGCAGCATTTAACAAAGAGATATGTTCTACGAAATAAGAAAGATAAAAGTCGCTTAAGCTTTTAAAAGTTTTGCATTAAAAAACACATGAACTGGACTGAAGATTTCAAATAAATACTAACCCTAACCTGTATACTGCAGAGTATAACTGCAGAGACAAGGTTGCATAAAGTAAATCCACTGAATCTACATTCCCTTTGGAACACAACTGGTTGTGTGCTAAGGATGAACTTTCGGAGCATATTTCTAGTTAAGGTTAGTTACTTTGTTAAAATGGAAGATCGCTGAATATTCTGAGCAATAAACCCACCTCTTGCTTACAGGTCCAAGAAGAAGCAATCAAGAACTCAGATTAGGTTATTTTACTCACTTAGGAGAAGTCAGTTTTCCATTACAAGAGAACAACAGAACAAAAGCACCACACATTTTAAGCGTTCCTGGGTCATCCCTCATGGAAGTTGAGGGGTTTGACTTGTTGGAACTGCCTGAAACTGAAAAAACTCCAAAGGGCTCTTTGTATCAAGGAACCAAAATAGAGGGATGAGGGGGGAACCTATTAGCAAGTAATAGGAATGCATTTGTAACCAGACTTAAATACTGATATGAGATAAACCTGCTTAGAAAATACATTCATTATGATTGAACAATCCAATGAGGTGCAGACGTTTGGTTAAATAAAGCGCAGCTTAATATCCATATAGGTGTCTGGATGTCATGTAACAACAGGCATTTGCAATAGACAAACTTTTTCTGAAGAACATTTAGATTTCATTAAAATTGACCAAAAAAAGACAACCTAGATTCATCAACTGAAAAGGCAACATACTCTAGAAAGACATGACTGTCATGACAAGTCAGAACACCTCACAATGCAGAGCCTTTTTTGTCAATTTGTAAGAAGAAATGCAACAAAGTGCTCACAGGTGGAGAAAGCATTTAACAACTGGTCTTTTATAAAAAGCTATGTGTTTGTTAAAGATGTAAAAATAAATGAAGTGTTGAAGACCAAAGAGGAGAAAGATGTGGGCCAAAGTCACCCAGCTGCAAAGTCATTAAATTTAATTAAAACCAAAGAAAACTCTATTTGGACCTCAACTACACTGAGTTTACAGAAATCAATGTTGTTAAATATTTAGCTTCACAAACTCTGCAAAAATGAGTTAGTGACCTACAAAAGTCATATATATAATACATTATCTTAAAGATCATATTTACAAAATTTATTCACAAAAAGACTGCAAAACTCTGATTCAGACTGCAGTGCCTTGCCTTGAGTTTTCTGAAGTTGTTTTCAAAAGATGAAGGATTATTGCTCTAATTTTCCTACACAGAAAACCTTCCATTATGCAGTCTTTTCAAATAATTCTTACGAGATTGTGTTTGAGAAGGAACATGAGTACACCTTACCTTCATATTAAGTCCTTATCAAAGATATTGCATTAATCCATTATATAGTCTTTCATAAAGTGCACTCAGCTGCACATCAATATGTAAATATTAGTCACAATTGTGTTTAAATAATTTAAATTTATTACCCTCTCTTTTTACCCCGTGGCCACAAAGGACAGGATTTTGGACTAGTATGTGCCAATTCATGTTGCACCAATACCTTGCTTGGGAAATCCTGACTCGGGGTAAGAGATTAAAAGCAGCATTTATATTCAGGAATTAATATAAGAGTCAAGGCTAGGAACTACATTCTCTGTCAGATACTGTTACTAGAGAAATCAGAAACTTCTTACCACTGTGACTTCTCCAGGCACTTCTGTCCGCCTGTAGTTGGTGAAAGGGCTGTGGGTAGCCACAGTGGCTAGATAAGGTAACCAGGACTCTACCCATCATATCTACTAACTCGCCACTGCCTAATTCACAGTTCTAGAGGCAGAGCGCCAAGAATATTTATGACCTTCTTTTGTACACCACGACATACAGTAATAAATGCTTTTTTTGTAGGGTTGTTGGTTTTTTTTTTGCCTTGGGTTCTTTTGTCCCTTGAGTGAACTAACTTATGACATCGTGGTGATAAACAGGAAAACCCACTTGTTTCCATAAGGCCAGGGTTAGTTGCTGTGAAGAATGCGTAGCTTTGCTTTGTAATACTAGTGCGTCATTAATACAGCGCATTCTTGTGTGAAGAGATGGTTGGTTATAGGTGTCAGCAGTATTTCTGTTAAAGAAAAGGAGAAATAATCACCAGAAAATAAAAACCACCTTTGCTGAAAAAAACTGGTCAACATAGTGCATTTTGAAGGGGAAAGTGCTGACAGTCAATTTCTAAGCACAAGGACAGCATTTTAGTGCTCCACTTTGGAGATAAATCCATAGAGAAAAAACACCCTCCCAAAACCTCCTAAACGTGTTGTTTGAGTACCTTCACTGTGTGACACATGGGGTTGGAAAATCTGGTATTTCACCTTTGTTTTTCCCCACTTTATCAAAGGTACTTGTTAGATCAAAACCCTCCAATACCTTCCTGATCCCCCAGAAGTCCTCATTTTATTTTGGGTGCTTCCTTAGACAAAATTTCACAAGGTATGTTCTACTTAAATAAATTTAGCTTATCTCAGTTTTACATTGCTCATCCCTTGGCAATTTCTGGAAAGATTACAGCAGAAGTATATTCAGGATTTAAGTCTTCCTTGCAGTGACTGTTATTAGCTCATTTTTCCCCTCTAATAAGGGGCCTAAATTTTCCATGGTTTCTTCCTATGCACACACAAGATTTTCTAAAGAATTTTAAGGGTAAGTCTCAGCGGCAGTTTCTATCAAGAGGAGAACACTGTACTACCACGATTCTTGGTCCAACTCGTGAAAGCTGTTCTACAGAGTCTTCTACATCTGCTGAAGATGCTTTTCATAATCTCCATGTTTTGCTTTCTGGGGTTTCTCAAGGCTCCAGAAGTATTTAAACATGCTTTGTGTGGTATAAGCCTTGATCCTACCTCTGATCCTTCAAAGTCAGCATCTAATCACAGCATACAGCTTGGGCTAACAATGGATTTGATTTAAATATCAAAAATGAGGTATCTTGAGACATACAAATAGTAGGTTCACAGACATAAATACAAAAAGTACAACTGAGAACAGGATTGCACCAGAGGAATGGCTTGAAGCAAATAGTTCTCAATGGGAAGAGAGTCAACAGATCCCTTCAACCACATTGCCATACAGCTTACCTGGTCTGGACCCATAGGCATCCCTGACATGGGCATGGTATTAATATTCATCTGTCCCATATGGCCGCTGCTGCCATTCATGTGCATCATGCCATATGCTGCTGGATTGGCCTGATGGCTGAACTGCTGCTGGGGGAAAGAACTGCAGCACAAAAGGATAAATAAAGTTACCTTACACATTGGGATATTGCCTTCCCTGCACCCACTGTCAATGCATGAAAGACAAAACAATTTTCTACATTTGTTTCTGCCTAATACCTGTTGAATGTAGAAACAGAAATTTCCCCTCCCAAAAGGAACTCTGAATTTTCAGAAACACACAGAAGTGTGTGTGCATTTCCTGCTGTGACGGCTTTGGAGGCCTCCGTTAGGCTGCACCATCCATTATAATACTACTGACAACTTTTGTACTACCCCAGGTTATTTTTTTCATTATCCAAAGACTGCAGAGGTCCACCATCAATAAATGGACGTACGCATGAGACATTTAATTTCCTAAACCAGAGCAAGCACAAGGGCAATACAGAAACCAGAGATACAATTATTTTTCTCCTCTTCTGAATCCTTTTCCTACTACAAGCTACTTAACATAGCTTCTATTTTGAACACAATCAAAGACAGTTTTTGACCTACAGGCTATAAATGTGCACTTCACCTGCTCCTGGCCATGCTTCCTGATGGCCAGCCTTTCATCTCAGGGGACTGGTACATTGCTGCTGTCTGAGGATGCTGCATCATGGGATTTTGGGAGGGTCCCATCCTTGATGACATCATTGGGTTGGGAGGGCTTGATACTCTGGTAAATGCAGGATCAGGTTGTTGGCTCATCCCTTTAAAAAGGAAGGAGAGACAAGATACTTCAGTTATCATCACCTAGTACTTTTAGGGTTGTTTTTTTTTTTCTTGCAATGATGGGAAGGCAAAAAGGAAGTATTTTGTAAGAGTATTTTCCATATTTCAGAATTCAATTGGTATTTAGGTAGCTTGGATGAAGAAAGGGAAAAGAAAAACAGACAGACAAAAAAACCCCACAGTATCACTAGTACCGTAATTAGGTGGATAGGGGAATTGCTGTGAAGGAACTTGAGGCATTGGTGGGCCCGTCAAAGCACTGTCCATGCTTCCTGAGGCAGTCACATTTGGCGGTGGACTAAAGGCCTGAGGCTGCTGTTGCTGCTGCATCATCATTGCCATCCTCTGTTGTCTAAAATGATGACTTATTAGCTCCCTGTTACGCTGAGCCACCATTTGAGCATTCAGAAAACCTTGCTGCTACCCCCCAAAGAAAAGAAAAATCATATTAGAAAACACTTTTACAAATGAAATCGTGTCAGAGTCAATCAAACCACCTACACACCTCCTATCTCTGAGTCCCAGCATATCCATTACCAGAATAGAAATGTAAGAAAACCCACAGCCAGTACAAAAAAAAAAAATAAAAAAAATCAGAATATCAGACAAAGGCTTTCATTAAGTTGCCATTAGTGCTAAACAAATGACAAAGTACATTAGCTATCACATCCTACATGGAAAAGACTACTGGCACACTTTATTGGCAGCGTGTCCTCATGAACGAAGCCCTCTGAAATCTCAGTGAGGTACAAACCCAACTTTTTTAAGTGTACAGAGGAGCAAGCAAAACAAAAAAGGCATGCTGTGGAACAGTGCAAGAAGGTGCAAGGTCTAAACAGACAGGTACAAGACGTGCCTATTTAAAAATCACTGCTTCAGATGGTTGGTGTACTTACTTACCTGTGACCCCACCTGTGGCTGCATAACTGGTCTCATCACTGAGGTACTACCACTGACTGGGTTTTCCATTTTCATTTCAAGCGCTTGACGGGTCTGATTCATAAACTTGGAAAAAGACATTTTTGCACAATTAGCTTCAAAATACCAATATCTGAACAAAGTAATGGCAACTCCCCCAGAAGAGAGTCTTTACAGACCTCTTGAATCCATCAAGCACAATGGTTAATTTTTGCCTTGCTTGATGTACCTGAAGTACCAAGCTATTTGGTTAAGCAGCTCAAACACACACAAAGAAAATCCCTCCAAAGAGCACAGCAGTAACTGGCTTTATTTCTATCTTCCCTTGAGATTAGTGCTCTTTAAGCACTAATATATATATATATATATATAGCAGGCTACCTAGTTGTTCCAAATCATGTTTGGGGCAGAAGGGTATAGCCACCAGCTTTGCTTGAAATAATAAAGTTCAGTTTCCTTCCCTCACACTCACAAAACTCCAAAGCCATACATATTGAGTTCCTGTCACAGAAAACCAGGAGAGAACACAGACTTTCATAAGGATCAAACATTGCCATTCCATGTCACACAGCATTCTCTCAGTTTTCCAAGTTTTCTTTGTACATTGTATTGGATATCAGGACTGCACCTTCACATGGGGAAGTCAATGCATGCAGCAATTTTTTAAGCAATGCTTTAACCCAGTGTTAAGATCTATTAGCTGTAACTACTCTCTCACCTTTCATCCTAAGAAATACCCTAAAATAACAGCAAACTGATAAATAGAAAGCAAATCTGATTTCAATGAGCCCATATGACTGGTTAGAAAACATAATGAAAAAAAAAGTAACATTTGATTAACAGGAGAAATGCAGCTGCCCGTTTAATGGTATCAGTGAGATTCAGGAAAAAACACTAAATCTGAACGTGGAGATAAAGAGATCATTCAGGGCTGCGTCGTACAAGAGAACTGTGGCAAGCAGCAGTAGTAATGTGTGCTGCAGGCACCAGTCCCCTCTGTAGCTAAGGAGACTGATGAAGGAGGAACAACTGTCCTAATAAAAGTTCTTTCACTCCTACAGCCATTAGGTGCTCAGTGTGAAAGGCACTGTCAAAATGAAAGATCCATCCTTTCAATCACCTGCTGTAATGTCAATTTTCCTACTCGTGAAGCAACACAATTCAGTGTGCACTTGATTCCATTCCGAAACAAGAAGAAAGTGTAAATGCAGGAGCAAGACGTTACCTGCTGCCCCTGAAGCCTCTGCTGGAGCTGCATGCGGAGCTGCTTTGGGGTATTGGTTCGAGGTCTCATCACGTTTGCTCTAGGATGCATACTTTGGAGTGGAAAATTGCTCTGCTGGCTCATCTGATTCATCACTGAATTAAAGGATGGCTGTTGTCCCTGAATGTTACTAAAACCTCCTGGCATTGCTGCCCCTTGCCCTTGATAGGGCTGACCATACAACGAAGGCTTCTGGTCAATCATAACTGAAGATTCCTGACCTTGAAATGAATCTTGTTTGGGTTCCAAAGCTTGTCCCTTCAACAGATACAAAAGTGTTTTCACTAGCAGTATATTTTTAAAGTAGGAATTCCTAACGAAATAATAAAGCTAACACAGCATACAACCACCAATAGTTTCTTGGGTAGAACACAGCACGGACAGATAACTATTGGTTTTGTCTTCACACAAGTGAAAAATTATTAATAATAATAAATTCTTTAAAACTCAGTTCTGCTGCACACTGCTTACACAGGCATATTCAAGCCATTTCACACTTTTAAACTGCTATTTGTACAAATGACAGTGTGATTTTGTGGTTTTCAGCAAGTTCCGTATTATTTACAGAATTTCTTTTCCTTATCTGCTAGCCATGCAAATTCAAGGACTGGAGGAGACAGAAGTCTCCTACTCCCTAACGCATCACTGCCAGTCAAACATCTCAAAACCCAAGCTCAGCTGACAACAGCTTACTAACGAAACCCAACACAATTCTCTGCTTATAGAAATATAATAATTTGCACTCAAAAAAAACACCCTATACGCAAGACATATTACAATGAACTAAAATGTCATTTTATCTTCTTGTAACGCACAAGAAAGATAATCAATACTGAGCTTGTCCAGTGAAAATCACTACTCAGTGTAGATGCTTCCAAAGCCAGATTTAGGTAAACCAAGACAAAGAAGTGAGGAGACAGAGCAAATGAGAAGGTCTTCTTCACTTTCTTTTCAAGTAACACAATAATATGGGGAAAATAAATGGCCAAAATCTCTGTTTACTTACTTGGTTTACAAGATCAGGAATTCCTAAAGCTCTGTCAATTTCTTCCAGCCCCGTGACATCCGTGTTACTCAGCAAGGTGTGCAGCTGATCCAGAAGTGCCCTTTCATCATTCTGGCCTTCCATATTTGGTGCCGGACATAAGAGGTCATCCAAAGAGCTCCTAACCAATTGTCTAGAAATATAAAAACATCCCAGCCATTATGGACTATAAAGGCAAACACATAGTTTTTATACAATAATTGCCCTAGAGATGATTAAGTACTATAATCACCCAGAAGATGGAAGTAAGATTCAAGAACTTAAGTCCTTAATTCAGGTCCTAAAAAGTCCAGTCAACAGCCATGTACCCTTGAGCACACACAGATTATGCTTTCTCCTGGCTTCGGCATGTACCACAAAGACACAATAACAGATTTTCTCACTTCTTTTCTCTGTGCCTCCCTACATAAGGACTGACTCACTTTGTTAGCAAAGCCTTTGTGGAGCTGGCTCAAGAGATACCCAACGTCATAGGGATTTTTTACAAAAGCATGCAATGACAGGACAAGGGGGAATGGTTTTAAACTGACAGAGGGGAGAGTTAGATTAGATATTAGGAAGAAATTCTTCACTGTGAGGTTGGTGAGACTGGCACAAGTTGCTCAGAGAAACTGTGGCTTCCCCACTGTGGTTTAAGCTCAGCCAGTAACTCAACCATGCAGCTGCAAACTCACACCCCGCCTCTGCCCCTTCTTCCTCCCTGCTCCTGAAGGGACAGGAAGAAGAAGAATCGAAAGAATGCAACTCCTACAGGTTGCAATAAGCACAGTCCAGCAACTAAGGTATAACACAAAACCACTGCTGCTACCACCAATAATAATAAGGGAAATAACAAGGGGAAAGAACACAGAACTAAAAGGGGAAAAGGAAAGCAAACACAAGTGATGCACAATGCAATTGCTTACTACCCTTCAACTGACACCCAGTCCGTCATGAGCAGCGATCTCAGCCTTCCAGGTAACTGCCCCCAGTTTATATACTGGGCATGACGTGCTGTGGCATGGAATAACCCTTTAGCTAGTCTGGGTCAGGTGTCCTGTCCCTGCTTCCTCCCGGCTTCCCACGCCCCTCATTGGCAGAGCATGAGACTGAAAAGTCCTTGACTGGAGTAAGTATAGCTTAGCAACAACTAAAAACATCGGTGTGTTATCAGTGCTGTTCTCAGACTAAAGTCAAAAACACAGCACTGCACCAGCTACTGAGGAGAAAAATGACTGCTACTGCTGAACCCAGGACACCCATCCCTGGCAGTGTTCAAGGCCACATTGGATGGGTCTAGTGGAAGGTGTCCCTGCCCGTGGCAGGTGGCTGGAACTGGATGAGCTTTAAGATGCCTTCCAACCAAAATCACTCTGTGATTCTATGATTCACAGCAACAGCAGAAATGGAAACAGATTCTGACTCCAGCCTGTTATCTCCACTGTGCATTCTTCAAATCGCTGCTGCTACCACCAATAATAATAAAGATAAGGGAAATAACAAGGGAAGAGAATAAAACTGCTCACCACCCGCTGACCGATATGCAGCCCTACCCAAGCAGCGATCTAGCCCTTCCGGGTAACTGACCCCAGTTTATATACTGGGCATGATTTGCTCTGTTATGGAATACCCCTTTGGCTAGTTCAGCTCAGGTGTCCTGTCTCTGCTTCCTCCCAGCTTCCTCTCCTCCCTAGCAGAGCATGAGACTCAGAAAGTCCTTGGTCGGAGTAAACATTACTTAGCAACAGCTTAAAACATCGGTGTTATCAGAGTTGTTCTGAGGCTGAAACAACAGCACTGCACTAGCTACTAAGAAGGAGAAAAATGACTGCTACTGCTGAACCCAGGACAATGCTATGTAATTTTCTTTTTTCTAGGTCTTAAATTCGGACAGTGAACAGTCATATTTAAACTTATCTTAAAACCCTCCCCGATTCTACCTGTTTTGTGAACCCCGCGATGCTTGCTCCATGGAAAGCATGCTGTCGGGCCATGCTCCTGGTTGGTTAGATGGTCCTGGCTGTCCATATGGATTCCCCCCCATGCCAACATTCATCTCATTTGGCCCTGTGAGATAAAACGTGTGTGGGTTTTAAAAGCAAAAGGTGTCATCTTGCTCTCCCAGTGTTCACATAAAGCACTGTGATGGACGATCACACAAACTGTCAAACAGCTTCACAAGCTTCCCTTTAGCATGTTTTCAGGTGTATACACACTAAACTCACACTCAGGATAATTTCAGAAATATATCAACCACAGATTTAAATATGACAGTGTGGATCTAAAGCTACTACCCTGCTAGCGCAGAATCCTTCAGCCCTTAAATAGGAACTTGATGGATACAGCAACTTTACATCCAAAGAAAATGGGGTTTCTGGCCAATGAAATCTGGGCACTAGCAAATACACATTGTCATAGTGACATCAACATCTGGCATTTTAAATTCCAGAATAGAGAACATTGAAATAATCACAAGGTACATAGTAATTTGCTCTTCAGTAGTATGATCTTCCTGCTACCTAGACAGAGACAAACAGCACTACCCAGGACAGCTTGTCATCACATTATTTCCCAATATTTGGAGAAATCTCCAGCAATAACAGTTTCTAGGAAGTGAAGCTGAGGGATTCTGACTCAGTCAGGACTGCACAAATTTCTTCCTGATTTAGCCTTGCATCCACCTGTCACATTGAAATAGCAAGTCTGCCTAAGAGAACTGGTACCAGCCCTGGTAGCCTTCTGTGATCAGAATATTAAAAAGGAATGCCACCCTCTATTTTGGCCCTTTGGGGGCATGCTGGCAGTGGCACAACAGACAGGACAACTTCAGCTCCAGGCTAGACTGCTGTTATAATGATAAAACAGGAAAAAAACATAGACTGTAAGACTCTTCCTATTTTAGACATGCAGCTTATCTTCTCCTATTAAACGTGAATATTTAAGACAGAATCTGTATTTTAGTGTGGGCTTGTATCAAAAACTGGATACTCCTGTGAGAAGAATTTTGAAATACTTAAAGCTTTAAAACCCTGATTACCATGAAGTCAACATCAGGAAAACATCTATATCAAACACAATAAATTAATCAGGATTGTAGTATCTTCAAATATAACCACACATGGCATGAACCATCTGTGTATGAAACACACAGATATCACCAGAAGAAAACAAAAAGACCACCAAAAAGTCATTACATGTCCCAGTCTGGGAACAAGAACAACCTTTGCCTCAAAGGCCTTTGCTGAAAAGCTACTGTTTGTCCAAACCCAAACAGATTCTGATGATGAATGCTTACTACAAAACTAATGAGTCTGTGTTAACCAGGACAGTACAACGTGAGGAACTTACGCATGTGAATCATTTGCTGCTGCAGCATTGGTCTTGTGCCAGGCACACTGTTGGAGCGAACAGGCAGCCCCGGCATAGAGGCACCCATCGTGGGTCTGGGAAGGGCCGTGCTGAACTCAGGTCCTGCTCTCAACATCGAAGCAGAATTTGTAGGGTCCAATCTGTTCACCTTCGAGTTTGGCAAACCCCAGTCTCCTGACTGATGCTGATTCATCACTACATTCCTATTAGGAGCACTTACTGTAATGAAGAACAGAAAATACAATCATTTTCAACTACAGTACATTACATACTTCGGATTTCATCTATTTTAAGGGGGGTTGGGTTTGTTTTACCAACAAGGACACCTGCCAACAACAGAGCAATTCACTGAACTCCTACAAAAGAATCTCAAGCTTACTCTGCCAAGTTCTAAAGCATCAAACAATTGTATTAATCTACTTTAAAATATTAATGGCTGCCATTGTGACCTGTTCTTGCCTTCTATATATTAAAAATGTATGCTCAATACAAAACTCAAAATAGTATAAAATAACTACTAACTGAAAGTAAAGTACTGGTAATACTACACAGCTAGTGGACAGTTCTTCAAATTTTAGCTAGGGCTAATAACTTAAAAGTATTTATAATACTTATGGTAAAAGTATTATTCTTTAAGGTTTCTTTTGACCAAAATTTGCATTATAATCCTGCAACCTTTTTACACAAAAGCTTCTTCCTTTACAACGACACAAGCAATTTGTACATGAGCAACAAACCCATATTTGCTCCAAAATTTTCCTGGTTTTCCATCATTCTTGGACTTCCACCCATCAAATTTTGCTTTTGTAACATGGAGAATGCATTGATGTTCCTCGCTGGAACACTGGAGCCCACAGGACTGTCTAAAGACATGGCTCTGCTGAAAGGCGGGCGGGTGGCCTGCATAGCCTGGGGACTCCTCATACCTGTTAAAGTAGTAAAAAAATGCATGCAACTATGTTTTGAATAGAAAGTACCATTAATAACTTAAATAAGTCTGATCCATTTATGGGCACAGATATTTGACCTTAAAAAAGCCAGGAAGAGCTTCTGTATTTGATGTTCTTACTACACAAATCATACTTCAAGTGCATAGTTAGGACCTTTTACAGGAAAAGCCAAATGCAGTTCCCTTTGGCTCTAGACATAAAAAGGTGCATTTTAAATTAAGCTCTGTAATGAAGCATGGTTTTAACATTTTGAAACACACTAGTACTACAAACTCCTTGAGAAAGAGACAGAGAGAAAAATAACTATAGATACGAGTGGGATGCCCAGCCTTGGGATAACAGAAGAGACAGAGACAGAAACAAGTCAAATGCTTCTGTCTGGAACAGGCTGAATCGAGACACAACATGTCCCTGAGCAGTGGCTAATTAACACAGAAATCACTGTGCTCCACACCCAAAAGCTGCAGTAGCTTTATGTATTCATGTACCTGTTTTCACATTTTTCATTATCCATGTTTCACCTCCTTAGGTTACCTCAGCAATCTACTGCCCTATTCAATCAAGAGATGACCAACATTATGAAAGGAAGTGACAACTGCAATGACACTGCTCTGGCAAGGTTATCATTCCCTCCTACTCAGCTTCCCACTCGGCAAGGGCATTCCTCTCAATGCTGAGGAATACTCATCAGAATTTACAGGCCACAAGTGTTTTCGAACAGCATAAGTGGGCAATCAAAAACTCAAAAAATGTTTATCCTAATGTCTTTGAGAAATCTTTGTCAGGCAAACTCAGAAAAAAAACATAAAACAAGGAACTGAAGTTAATGCTATTCGTTGTGTCTATAGTAGATGAGTGCTGCAAGACAATAGGACAATAGTGTACATTATTACACTATATGTAATGTATATACACTGTGTTTCATAGCCTATGAAACATAGCCTTTTTGCATGACATTTGTCCTTGAAGATAAAGAAGATCAAGAAAGTACTCCCTAAAGATTTGAGGATGTATTATGTTTACATCAGGCAAGAAGAAAACTCTAAATTTAAACCCAAAGTGATATTAATTTCCTTACCCAATGAGGCATTTCCTTGAAATAAGGCTTGCTTTGTTCCAAGGTTAGTTCCATTTGCAGACATGGCATTATTGTAAAACTCTGAACTAGTCAGATCACCTAGAATTGCATCCAAATTATCCAAGTCTCCGTTCATCTGAAAAGATGCAGTAAAATACCAAGGTTATTTACCATCATGCGGCTATCCTTCAGCTCTTATTTAGCTCCTTGCTAATCTTAAAAGATAACTGGGAGACGAGTGTTTCAGTTCAATGACAGTACCTTGAGCTGTCTTGCAATTTCCAGAGAACTTTGGATATCATTTAGCTACATTTTTAAGATTATTTTGCTTGGCTGATTTTGAGAATTAGGAGAAACTGGAGGTACACATAAATAAAACAAGGCACCTCTGAATATAAACAGTTTGGTCATCACAAATTACAAAGATAAAAACACTGAGGGGAGCAAACAATGTCACAAATGCATCCTCTTAACAGAAGATTTGTGGATTTGTTTTGCATATATAGTGGATTTGTTTTGTCACTAAACATGCTTCTCTGAACACGTTAATTTTAGATCTCAGGAGCAAGGACTGAAACCATGCATCGAGTATGATTACAGAGGAGTTAGTGACTTTTGCATCAGTGGTACTCAATAAATGTTATAAAGTGTTTCATTTATAGTCAGCCATTAGCTAATATAAAAATTGTGCAGTATTTTTTTATTTGCATAGTTATTACTGACTTGGGAAATCCAAGTTCTAAGATACCAGCATGTTTTCAGTAAACCCTGCCATACTGACTAGTGTTATGTACTTTGAAGCTGTTCCAAATGTTGACTTAGGAACTAAATACAAAAAAATTATTATATACATATTATAATTTGAAGAACAGCTGTGCCTAGCAAGTGTACTCCTGCTTTTGGGGGAGTTGTTCCATGGTGGTATTGTTTGCTGTATCATGACATTTCTTAGAATTGCAACTCTAGAAATACAGAAACAAATAAATATACATGCATTTACCTAAATGCTGAATATATAAGCATTTGGGACAACATTTTCCTTCACTTCAGGAAAAAAAGGGTGGTAAAACCAGTGAATGAACTCGAACCGATCTATGACTACAGTAACTATTACACATTTTTGTGTATTGTTTGTACTTTCAACATGAAATCATGTTTCACCTTTTGCTACTGTATTGCCTACTGATTACAGAAGCAGTTACAGCTCCATATCCTATTAAGCCATGAAAATAAACGTGTTATGTGAAACAGCAGGTGTTAAGGATCTGATTTTAAAGAATAATTTGTAAATATATGCTACCTTAGTCATACAGTCCAGGGCTGACAGGGCACATTTGTTTATATACATACCCTGTGCTTTTTCAGTTGCAATCAAACCAGAGTGTATAGTTTCACACCATTTGCATAGAACTTTCTTAGAAATGCTTACACACACTTACTAAAGTGTTCTGTATTTATCCATTCACTGTAATAAGAAATTATTGGTTTGTTTGCTACCCTCATTTTACATTATACTGTACCTCCTCCACTGGTTCTGCTTTTATTTTTGTCTCTTTTTCTTGACTAGAAGTAGGAATTGTAGAACTACTGCATTGTCCCATTTTATTATCCACATTTTCTACTTTAGGCTTCAACTCCTTGGAAAGTGGATCTTTAACATCATCTTTATCTAACAGGTATCTTAGTAAAGCGTTGTTTTCCTTCTTCTTTGGGCTCAGTTGCTCCTGTTTGACAGTGCCTTCTCCACAGGGGCCTGTATTACTAGTATCATGATACGTGTCTTTACCAGTAGCTTCAGCTGTAATCTTGGCTACTTCTGCAGGAGAATTACCATTCTGCAACAGTTTATGCAAAATCCGATGCTTCTCCTGCAGGAGGGATGTATGCATGTTTGAGGAGGAAGACACCCCTCCAGATGTTGATGAAGAAACTCCTGAAGGACTGGTAACACTGGTAGAAGATTCTTTACAGTTTGAGTCTAAAGGGGAGTTTGATGCTGTAGAATGCCCTCTTTCCTCTGAGGAGCACGTGAGAAGCTGAAGCAGTTTTTTATGCCCTTTGCTTTCAGATGGTCCTCTTTGACTTTCAGATGCCTCCAGATTTCCCTCTTTACTATCTTTTTCACTAAGGAGATCCCTGCTGTTTGACTGGCAGATGGAACTTTCCACTTGGTTTTGTTCACAGTACAAACCAGAAGGGCTTTTGGAGTCCTGGGTGCTTGTTTTACTTTGCGGAGCGATGCTCATGTTTGGGGAATTATCCAATTTTGGACCCGGTGAAGACAGCGTTGATAAAAGAGAATTTCCAACACCCTCACTAATGGCTTGAAGAGCACTAAGAGAACTGCTGGAGAAAGTGCTGGTGCCGGTGTTGCTGGCAGATCCCATTGGAGAGTGCATACCTGTATTACACGACAGAGATCAAACTTATTAGACTACAGTAATGTCTGTACCTGCGTTTCCTTTGGACTATGTACGACTGCCGTGCTGAGTTAATTATTGCCCAGAGAAGTTGTGGCTGCCCCATCCCTGGCAGTGGTCAAGGCCAGGCTGGACAGGGCTTTGAGCAACCCAGTCTTGTGGAAGGTGTCCCTGTCCATGGCAGGGAGTTGGAACTGGATGAGTTCTGAGGTCCCTTCCAACCCAAACCATTCCGTGATACTATGATTCTGAAATAATTTTTTAGCATTACATTAGTTACACAAGGTCATACAGAACTGTTAAAAAGGATGAAAGATAGAATTCAGATAAAACCAAGAAAGGGAGATTAATAAAAGAGATTATAGCAAAAATAAAATACCTGTAACTGGAGAAAATTGGTGTGAACTCATTTTTGGACTCCCTCGATTCCTAGGAGATATCATTAGGTTCTGTTGGTTGGAAGTTAAACCAGGACTACCATGTGGTGGGCTACTTATATTTAAGCCGTAACTGTTGTTCTGGTAAGCTGAGGACTGCAGTCCGGGTCCAGAGTTCCCAGGCACCATATTACCAGGGCCTCCATATCGAGTGTTGTTGAGCTGACCCACAGCACTGGGATCTCCCATACCATAGCTCCTGCTCTGCACTGGCATGCCTTGGCCAGGTGACATGTTCATAAGACCACCAACAGAATTCGTGTTTCCAGCCACAGGTGTTCTGACATTTTGCCCAACTGAATTAGGATTTGGCCGATATCCATTTTGTTCTCTGTAAGTTTAACAACATGCCCAGAAACCCCAAGAAAACAAATTAAAACCGTATACAGAATCAAGTGCTACAAAGACAGAAAACATAATTAAAGAATTTTACAAATATTTTTTTCAAAAGACAAGTGAAGATTCAATATTCCACAGAAGCAGAACTAAGCCATGCCACTCACCACTCGTTTATTCATTACAGAAGTGCTTGGTCTTTTAGGTGATTTGGGTTACAAGTACACACATCTCTTCAAAAGGCTTTCATCAACAGCCATTAGTCAGGTTTATCAATTTAAACATCTTCCTTCTACTCCCTTCCTGTGTCAAGGCATGACACCTTTCTACTGTGCACACTAATGATGCCTTAACCAATCTCAGCTACTCATTTTTCTGCATCTGGAGGCACTTTAATGCCAGAAGCAGACAGATTCTCTCCAGAGTGGCATTTCAATTATTCTTGCAATCAACAAGAACAGGTCACATGAAGTGCTATTTAAGGTACATTTAACTCTGAGTCATCAATGATGCATCTGAGGGTGTTCTGTTGTCTTTTTAATTGGTCTGCAATTAAAAAGAGTAAGATAAAGCATCTAACTGAGCATTTCTATTTTCAGTGTTTCATCGTTATAAATGTTAACCCAAAAGAATAATGAATACATGACACGAGCTCTATGTAGGTACTGAGGCAAAACCTCTCTTTGACTGTGACTTTCTGCCACACAGTTAAGTTGGAGTGTCAGTATTAGGGTGACATTTATTTGTATGCTATGCAGCTCTGCTTCCCAAGTTACTCCCCCTCTGCTTGAGTCTTAATCAGGTAAAATATTTTTGTATCTTGAAGGTCAGATACGTTTTAAAAAGCTATGATACTTAAATGACAAAGAGATAGCACTGATTTCACCTTTGAAGAAAGTGGGTAGAGACAAATCCATGGCGGTCGTTAGTTACAGGGTTTCGAAATAGTTTACTTTTTGTCTGTGCTGTCACTATAGTGCCATCTGCTAAAGAAAACCGATACAGCGGTGTTTCAGCATGACCTTGTGTGTAAGCTGCAAAGGAAATACACAAATAGGGTTCACATTTTAAAAAGCAATATTACTAATATGCACTCTGCAGACTGATTAACACAATCTTGTAAAGATATACTAAATAAGAAATAATTAACCAGACACACCCAAGATAGATACTCAGAAAAAGCAAGTATTCCATGTTTTCTCCTAAATTTGGAAAGACAAAAACAAACAAGATTATTTTGCTGTTGCAGTAAATTGTGCTCAGCATGCCCAGCACAAAAAGTTCTGCATTTGTTAACACACTCCCAATGCCAGTTTAGCAGGTTTCCATGGCTTCTCCTTGGGAAAGTATTTTCAAGTTTAAAAGTTTTGCTTTATTTAAAAAATGTGGAAAGTAGTGCTTTTAATCTGAGCTCCAAATTTTGGATTAAATTAGGGTTTATTTAATCAGATAAATTGAAGAACCTCCAATGGAATGGAAACTCCACTTTCTGCCAGTATGAGTTTCTCTTTATTTAATATCCCCTCTACTTGAATTACTTTGTGAATCCTTCAAAGGTATCACAGATCAGAAAACTTTAAAAATATCATCTTTCTTACTGAAGACAGTGGCTGTACTTCACTTTATCTATGAAGGTTATCAAATTAGCATTACAAAATACATAACACTGGAACACTGAATGTATTCTGAACCCTTGCGTCTTAAATAAGAAAAAGGCTGTTATCATAGCCTTTAACACAACTGCTAGCACTTTTGTGAGCTATCCTTTAACAAAAGTTAAAATGAATTAAAATCAAACTAATGTTAAACAAAAATACCAATTTAAAAGATAATTAAGAATTAGATGCTATTACAAAAGTATAGCTGTCACTCATTATTACATGTGGCTGTGGAAAAACAACTTGTTTTGGGCTCTCAGATTATGTATCTCATATTTTCCATGATAATTATCCGTAGAGACACGTTAGAAAAAAAAAAAATAGCTTTCACCAGAATTCCTATTTCTCAAGAGGACGTCCTCCCTCAGCTGGTAAATATGAGTCACAGAAATTAACACGAACAAAAATATGGAAAAAGAGAACACAGGCAGAATACAGCATTTTTGTTTTGCAGAAAAAAAATGCAAGCACAGGGAGCAGCAGCAGTACAACCAAACACTCCAAACGGATCTTCACCTTCATGGTAGTGGCGTTTGTTTGACCAAGACTGTCCATCATTATGGCACAGGAACCTCTGAATACACCTACGGATTATATCTTCAAAGCCAGGTCTCATGGAAGACCGCAATGAGTTTGTATCAATGTTGACAAGTTTGCCTGTAACAGGAGAGAAAATACATACATTAAATTCCTTATGTCTACACCAAACCTTTTGTATGAATGTGGTATGTTTCAGAAGGCTCCAATTTCACCATTTTAATTGTTCATGAGCCAAACACCACATTTTGAATATGCAGAAGTTACACTTACAGATTACCTGCCATATGAGAATATGATGCTGCTTGTTAAAACATCAATATTCAAAGGGATTTAGAGTTAGAGGAAGTTACTCACCCACAGGTTAATGCCAGAGCTTTAGAAAACAGTAGCTTTAGTGTTTGGTTACAAGGCACCCAAAGGATGCATACAGTAAGATTTTCAAAAATCCTGACCAACTACATCCACAAATGAACATCAATAAACACTACCTGGCGTCTGAAAAAGCCCCATCTACAATATATTCTTTCACTGTAAGCTGCATAAAACACTTTAAGCATTAACTCATGCGCTGTACAAAAAATACAAGCATTCAGTTATGATTTAAAATATTTCTTATGTGTAAAGGAAAGCACAATGACAACCATTTCAAACACTGCCAGGCTAACACACAAGCAATGCTTTGTACTAAGCTGCCAAATAATAGCATGCTAGCACACAGACAGAAAATGTGTCCCACTGCAACACAGTATATTGCAAAAAAGAGTTGGGAGATCTCAGTCCAAATTCTGATAGTCACTACAGATACATAATTCATTGGCATACTTGATTTATTTAGAAAAAGAGCACACGGACAAAAACAGATGCTTTCCTACCTTCATCTTGGGTATATTTCTCACCTGAAAGATCATGTCTTGTAATAAAGCTCTCTGGATTTGTTGGAAACACCCTTTCTGCAGTTGTGATACGACGTGCCACACAAATCATACAGGACTGCAAATCTGTATTTAAAAAAGAATGTTTCTTCTTTCATTTCTCTCCTGATTTATTCTATTAAAGCATCCAATAAAATAGCTGAAGTGTCCTTGATTGTTAAAATGGAAGTATAGGCAATCAGAACTGAAGCTTTTGCATTCTGTTCCTGCTTACATATAAATGGATTGCAGAAGCTACAGCTTTCATGACACAACAAATACCAAAAAGCTTCACTCAAAGATTTCTTTTGTGCACATTGATTCCATAAAATTTCCTACCTTCCCCCTCTTCCATCATAGCTCTTGGCTGAGATAAAGCAAAACACTGCATTGTTTCATATCTTTGACGTATGTCCTGGTGGCTGCCTATGTCTTCCAAAAGATCATGAGAGGTTTTCATCATCATTCGGCAATTGAAGGTATGACTCTTCTGTCTGGGTGTTTCATTGGTCCAAGCAACTCCATTAACTTCAAAGAACACAAAGAATTTATAAAGATTTTCAGATAAAATAATTTTATAACTGACTTTTCTTAATCTAGATACCTTGTTTCTAGATTAGAGAGATTAAAGACTATTTTAAGATGCTTTCTCAATATAACATCAGTTTAATACCTTGGTATAAAATAGGAGTATCAAGAAGAAAATAAAAAACCCTCTTCCCCTTAAATGACAATTTCAGTCCCTTGAAGAAGAGCTGAAAAGTCATTCACATATTTACAAAACATGCAGTTCCCTCAGCTAGTCTCGTGGCATTAGGAAATAGATTCCTTTCGTATCCTTGGTTTAAGTTACAGGTAAACAAATTGCAAAGGCTAAAGTACAGCATGAATTTCCAGCACATTTATTTCTGGCCGTATCCTGTAGTAAGACAACAGTAATATTTTTCAATATTAACATATTTTTGTAGTCAAATATTCTTAGTACAAGTTATTTGTTTTGAAAGGTTATCCATTATTTTTTCTTCTCCAGTTGTTTCCAAACAGCCTAGTGTAGTAAGTCAACTTTTATTACCTGAAGATTTAGGTAAGTTTTTAAGAAAGTCCTTCCGGTCCTCTTCATGCAAGATACCATAGACACTTGTATTAACCAAATCTTCTTGTTTGTATTGCAGATACTGTGTGACGTTTTCTGACACAAATACTATATTCCCATCTCGATTTACAACAAACAGGAAGCCATCCAATGCCTAAATATTAACATGACAACACAACATATAAGACACACCATCTAATTCTGAACATCATTTAGTTTAGAAACATCAAGCTGCAATACATGCAATGCTTTCCAAGGGCTGAGCAGAAGTTCAATTTTTTTTCTCTGAGGAAAATTGTGTCTGGTAAAGAATTACTTCAATATTAAAAATTAACTTGCTCATTCGTTATTCCTTTGAGCTCTTTCACAGTGATAACAAGCCTTCTTGTTTCATTCTTGCTTTATTTGAACACAAGATAATGGATCTGTAACAATATTTCAATAGCTGGCAAATTGAAACAGGAAGAAATTCAGTAGAGAGAAGTAGCGAGACATGAGCATGAAGGCATTTCCACCAGTGAGTGACGAGATAAGAGAAGAGAGTCTATGTAAAACAATTAAGTTTCAAAAGTGCTTTTTAATGGACATTGGGATTGGTTTTCTAGGCACAAAGAAAAGGTATCTGCTGTGTACCTTTTCTTACAGTTATTCTAATGTTATTTTAGTTGATGGCAGCATTTGTTTAAAACACGACATAATTTAGAAACACAAACTCCAATACACATCACAAACCTCTAGTCTTTGCAAATCCTCATAATACCTATCCCCCCAAAAAAAAGCAAAATACTCTTTAGTATTACTAAGCACTGCTTTAGTAGTAATTTGCTAATGATTGCTGGAGAAAGTAAAACACAAGAACATGAGAAGAAGCCAAATGCTCTTCTTCTCTTTCCTTCTACAGAGAATTTCAGCAAAATTTAGAAAAAATTATAGCTTTTATTCCTGATGCTTCACTCACAGTTCAGTATAGTAGTTGCATACTATTTATTTCTATAGGATTGCAGGCCTTACTGTAATATTTTCACCTGCCTTAAATATCTGTTTCCATGCAAATTTACTAGGGCCTAATTTGTACTTGCCTGTAATAAAAGAGGTCCCAATGAATCCTTATCAATAACTCCTTGACCCGTAGAGGATACATCAGCTTTCTGAACATCATCATCATTAGAAACTGCTTTTCCTGAAACCCAAAAGACACATTTTACTAAAGCAACATTTCACATGAAGAGCACAATTTAGTATTACAAGCCAGGTTCTAGAAAGCGTGTGAGTGAAGGCAACAACAAAAACACAACCACGAATGAGAGAGGAGGTCTCATATATTGTGAGTTGCTTAAGACTAGAAAAGTTTTAGAGCAAATATTCCCAATGAGAAAATGATGCTAAATACTTATTTAAACAGAAAATTATGTGAGACATAATAAAGGTCTGGTTTAAGTCAAAGTATGAAGATATTCTCAGTTACATGCTATGGTAAAATCACTACTGTTGCTTTAGAAAAGGAATCACAAGAAACCTAATTATTTATTTTGGCTTAGAAGGGAATTGTACCTTGCTCTTTTATCTGTCGAATCTGTCTCACGGTTTCTTTTAAAATAGCACATTTGTCTGGTTTAACATTGAAATTGTCAATGTCACTCAGATTAGCAGATATGAGTTCAGCCAGTTCTTCAATGTATTTGCTTTCCTGCTCGCGCCGACGCTTCTCACTGCTGCAGGTCAGGCTAGGAACCAAAAACATCGTTTCATGTACTGACATACCAGCATATACAAAAGCTGCACTCACTCTGTAAACTTTAATATACTTTATGTAACACCTACCTACATAAGCTTAGGTAGTAGTCACTCTTCCAACCACCACAAATCTGAAGGGGGGGGGAAGGAGGGGAGTGGGGGATTGGGGGGGGGGGGTGTTTCAGGTTTCCTTTAAAGAATTTTAAGTACCAATTTATCATCAGGGGATGTGAGAAAAAGCTACTCATCCATAAAATCCCCTTGTGATCACTCTATCATCAAATTTAATGAAAACAGCAATTCCCTGTTCTAAAATTCTAACAGTCATACAGAAAGTGTATTTTAACCTTCAAAGTCACTTTAGATTTGTTTATAATTTATTAAATGAAATAGGATTTTAACATTCTTGGTTTGCTCATAATGAGATGACAAGATGACTACAGAAGGTGATGCCTCAGAGGTTTCTAGGCATCGGGTCAAAAATGCCATCTCACCATCCAAGAAAAGCAGGATCCCAGACAACCTAATGTTGCTGGATAAAGTCTCTCTGAAATCCATTTTCCTACATAGGTTAATGTGCTAAGTAAAGACACTATCTACAGCCTAAATCAACAGAGAGAACAGTGTCATACACAGACTATGCCAACAGTAGGAGAAGGAGAACTCAGGAGAAAGGAAAGGAGGCAAAAATGGGCACACTGAGGGAATCAAAAAAGAATTCATATTCTTTAAGAAGAAACCAAGTGAAAGAGTTAGGGGAGTATGGATGGACCAATACCGGGGAAAACAAATACATGACAAAACAGGGGCTTGAACAACTGATAAAGCTTGCGAAGGGTGACAACCTGAAAACCAGAATTCCTGAATGGACAGACACGGGAGAAAGAGCAATTGGAATAAAGGGCATTCACAAAGAGACACTGGGATAACAGTGGGAGAATCTGAGGACCTCATACATGGTCTGTTGCACGATGGAGGTAATAAGCATGGGACAGTGAGGACATATATGAAGGGAGAAATATGAGTACACATGACGCATGGTATTTGGTGAATCTGAAGACAAATTTAAGAGAGGTTAATACTCTGTGAGAACAAGAACATGAAACAGTAACATGTGGTGGAGAGCAATAAGGCTGAAGGGGGACAGAAAACCGAGTCCTTCAGATAACAATTTCTGACAGAGATGAGTGACAGCGTCATGATTTAAGCCCAGCCAGTAACTCAGAACCACACAGCCACTTGCTCACTCCCCTCTTCTTTCCTCATCCTCCCAGAGGAATGGGGAGGAGAACCAAAAGAGTGTAAATCCCACAGGTTAAGAACAGTCCAGTAACTAAGGTATAACACAAAACCACTACTACCACCAATAATAATAATGATAAGGGAAATAACAAGGGGAGAGAATATAAAACTAATAGGGGAAAAGAAAAAGAAAACAATAAACGTAAGTGATGCACAATGCAATTGCTCACCACCCGCTGACCCAGCCAGACCCAAGCAGCAATCTCAGCTTTCTGGGTAACTCCCCCCAGTTTATATACTGGACATGACGTGCTGTGGTATGGAATACCCCTTTGGCTAGTTTGGGTCAGGTGTCCCATCCCTGCTTCCTCCCAGTTTCCCCTCCTCCCTGGCAGAGCACAAGACTGAAAAAAGTCCTTGATCGGAGTAAGCATTACCTAGCAACAACTAAAAACATCGGTGTGTTATCAGCACTGTTCTCAGACTAAAGTTGAAAACACAGCACTGCACCAGCTACTAAGAAGGAGAAAAATGACTGCTACTGCTGAACCCAGGACAGAGAGGCAGGAAGACAGCACAGAACTCCAAAATTTCAGAGGAACTTGGAAAGAACTAATCTGGAGAAATGGAAGTTAAAAAAAGCTCAAGCTACTGCGGTATGCTGTACTGACCATGACCATCTGAACTGAGGGAACATGAAGTAAACTGGTAATTACTCAATCACCAGATAGAAGATTCTGCCTTTGACATTTCTGTGAAGCAAGAAGTTTTTCTTCTTTTGCCTTGCGACCACAACTTCGAACAGTGATTCCTTATATGCTCACCCTATCAGGATTTCCACAAGAGTCTAATTATAGAGCAGAGTTCAGCTTTGGCAGATCTATGCATACTAGTAAAGCTGTGTATGTTCACTACAGAAATTAGCCTAGAGCATTTTTCAGTTGAACAAAATTATTAGTTAGAATTCATTCTAAATTGCAAAGAAAACCTGAAAATTACTTTTTAAAAACTTATTTTAAAAATTTTTAAAAAAGAGAGAAAGATGTATATACACCTACCTTGCACCTGGTGTATCACAAGGTAATTGCTTGCGCTTCCTTGACTCATTGGTCAAGCTATCCAAGGAGTTTTCTCCTAATCCACTCATCTTGACCATGCATCAGCAACTAAAGGCAGTAAGATAAAAACTGTGAATGCATCTCTGAAAACACCAATTCCAAAGGCAGAGAACTTTCCTGAATAAGTTACTTAATCAGATTTATGAGCATTTTTACTGTAAACCCATAAACCTTTATACTACTGAAAATATTTGGTTACTATTTTTTAAAACTCCAGTTTGCATTTTGCCAAAACAGAGGTTTTAAAAGGTTTGTATCAATGTAAGCAAAAATCAGTGCAAAAAAAAATGCATTCAATTTGATTCTGAGACGTTTACAATTTTGCTCCATCATACTGGGACCACTCTATAGCTCAAGCTCATCTGAAAATAAAAACATTCTCAGTGTTTTAACATTTGTTTAGTTAACTTGAAAAGAAAGTGGTTCCTTAATAGGTTATGCCAAAATGGAGTTAAATACTAAGGATGAAGCTAGACACCATTAAAGAAAAGGCCAAGTGATACTCTTAAGGTAATGACAAATGGATGACCAGAACACTGAAAATAAAGAGAAATGCTGAATAAAATTTCCTTTTTTGTATGCTCCCTTCTTCTCTTCGGGTGATCTAACCACTGCAGCCACAGCTCCTTGACATCCTTGGAAATAAATCAGGGGGCTTAAAGGATTTTCACGCCTCGCTCAGCATAAAGCTGACAGATTACTGTTACCATCTCTGGCTCAACAGGTTACTACAGTCTTAACTTCATGTTTCTTGCTAAACCTTCTAAAACATTTTCCTAAAGCCTTGAGGACAAGGCAAGCAAAGACTTCAGAACTCTTTCAAATCTATTGCTTCTGCAGCAAAGATTGGGCCATAACCCAATAAAATAATAGGTTATTTGTGTTAAAGTCTAGGTATGTTAAACAAGCCTGGGAGATGATATATTCGTAACCCTGATCTCCACTCACTCTCAAGAGGAAAAAGGAACACAACCAGAGGCAACAGCTATACCAGATCCTGCTATGCTGCAATCAACAACATGCTGAGGGAGGAAAACAACTTTGTAATGGATTTACGCTATTTATATAGCTAGAGTATTTTAGAACATAATCAGAAACAAAATGATCTAATAATTCATATTTCGTTTTCTGTACCAAAGTGACAAGACACACCTGGGCAGCTAGAAGCTTAGCATTATTTCATCTTTTCAACAGAAATTGCCAAGTTAAATGTAAATTTCATTTGCCCTGTTTAGGCAGGGATGCAGTCTAGTCCAGCCTGCAGTTCTTTACCACATACAGCAATAGCAGTAACTGATCCTAAGCATTCAGGCAAGACAGTTACAAATTTTAACTGGGGAGAAACTTTTCCATAACATATAACCCAGGTACTAATAAATCTTTCGGGGGAAAAAAAAAGAGCTCTTTATGGATCTCCACCATTACTACAGCTATTCAAAAAAGAAAAATCCCTTGAAGTTGCTGAACACATACCACAAGGACAAAGAACTGACAGACACACTTTCACCTAAATGAAGTTTACATTAAGATATTAGAGGCTGGTCGCCAAGTGACTCAAAGCATGTCTGCAGAACAGGACCTGGCCACCCTGGTGAACAAGAACTTAGTTCAACTGAAGTCAGCAGTGTGCCTTTGCAGCAAAGAAAACCAACCTTAGGAAGGCACCTAACCAACTGCTTCCAGGACAAGACATCTGAAGAAGTGTATAATTTCTGATGTACTAACCTTGACTGACTGGATTTTTTTGCTTACTGGCTTTTTATGACAAAAAATGTAATACTGCTCGAGTTCTTTCTGAAGTCTAAACTGAAAGGGCAAAGACACACAAGAACATATTTGCATGAAGCAGCATGGGAGCTGCTTGCAATAGCTGATGCTGTTATTGCAGGGTGTCTGCAGGCGGGGAATTTAAAAGGCCATTCTTACAGCAGTACAACCTTTGAAAGCTAGACAGGACAGAGGAGTGCTGCCGCACTGAGGAGTACACATTGGATTACCCTGGCACGCATACAAAGCTCAGAAGTAAAATGGCACCTCTTTAAAGCACGAGCTCTCTCTGCAGCTAAGCAAATGTTACAATACTTGACATAAAATTGTATTTATAACCAGTCCTCACCAAACTGACAGACATCAGGAGAGGAAAGATAATATACTTTGTACATCACAATAAAATTAAAAACAACAGTGAAACATAACCTTGCATTTGAAATAAACAATTCCAAAAGATGCCCAACTCTGTAACTGAAGTCAGGGACTGCACAGGCATAGATGAGAAATTTGGTTTGTACCTAAATATTTGATACAAAACCTGGATGCCATGGAGGGATTATACAAAACCCAACATACAGAGAGACCATATATACCTCCAGGGGAAAACCTCTCGAATACATTTACAGCAGCCCACCTTACGTGAAGATCAAGAAAAATACATTGTTATGCCACTAGATGACAGTGTAGCACTGAGCAACTGCGGAGATAGCATTTTTTACAATTAAGCAGCGGAATGAAAAACTACTCATCTGAACAAATAAGCAGTTCCAAAACCAGATAACACAAACAGGCTATGATCATGCGAAAAGCAGCTGATTATCTGAAGCTCGCAGAACATATGACTCATAAGGTCTGTGCCTACAGAGCTCGTAGCTAAGGCTGAGTCCTGGAGTCATTCTGTAGGTGACACACGCACACTCCAGGACTGGTGCCTCCCTCCCTGGAACTGCATTCACAGGCAGAGCACAGAGCTGCAGGGTTAAGAGCCACTGCGGAAAAAGAAAGGAAGAGCTTAAAATATAAGGCTTAAGGATAGCTCAGGAAGGGTGTGGGCACACCAAGTACGTCAGAAGCCAGGAGTAAATTCTATTTCAGAGAAGGAAAGATTTAAAATACATTAAATAGTTGAAAATTTGAGCTAGGAGACAGACATTTCAATGGAATGTAATTACACAGGTAACAGGGCTACATTAAATGATTTAGAACGAAATGTCATTGCTGGTTTAACATCCACCTCTACTGACAGATAACTCACAATATGATTAAATAGAAAACCAAAAATGACTATGTTTTGTCTCAGAGATATGATACCTATCAGAGAATGCAACTCTGCTTCTATTTAAGAAAATCTTGCAATGCCTAAATATAGAAGCTTGGAGAAGGAAGGAAAAATTAGGTAATATGTGTAGGCTGTTTCCCTACTATTACACCCAAATAACTTGTGATAGTTTATTCATGCCTGAAGCTGCAGAGTCCCTGTACATGTATTTTCCTTTCCCTAAGAGTATCATTACAGCCTGGGCAGGGATGTAGTGCCTAGAACAACTCTCTAACTGTTTAGCTAAGGAAATTACAGAAGCTGCTTCCCCATACACATGGATTTACAGTACAAATTGTTAACAGTCAAACTAATCTCCCTCCTACAGGAAATATTCACAAAAGAAGCTATTATTCAGTGAGTTAATAATGAAAGAAATCACCAGTTAGAAAGTACCAGGTGTTACATTTATTCATTCAATATAAACCTATAATTTCTAGTGAGCTAAAAAGTTTTTCCAAAAAGAAATCTATTTTGGGGGTATTTTCATAGAATCAGAGTGGTTTGTATTGGAAGGGACCTTAAAGCTCACTCAGCTCCAACCCCCACCAAGGGCAGGGACACCTTCCACTAGAGCAGGTTGCTCCAAGCCCCGTCCAACCTGGCCTTGAACACTGCCAGGGATGGGGCAGCCACAGCTTCTCTGGGCACCCTGTGCAGGCGCCTCAGCACCCTCACAGGGAAGAACTTCTGCCTAAGAGCTCAACTCAATCTCCCCTCTGGCAGGTTAAAGCCATTCCCCTTGGCCAGTCCCTACAGGCCCCTGTAAAAAGTCCCTCTTCAGATTTTCTTGTTGACCCCTTTAGGCACTGGAAGCTACTCTAAGGTCTCCCCTGAGCCTTCTCTTCTTCAGGCTGAACAAGCCTAGCTCTCTCAGCCAGTCTCCATCAGAGAGGTGCTCCAGCACTTCGAGCATCATTTTCCTGAAGCTAATCATTATTTCAGAAGACAGCTCTAAATTCCTGCTTTCTAAAGTTTAAACTTTCATGCACTTTTACTACTAGAGGCAAAAAAGTTCAATACAGCCATCTTTGTAAACTTACTTTCTGAGCTAAGAGGAAATTGCATTATTTCTGGCTCAATGAACCTATAATGCTGACTCCTCTGCTAGTTACACTGCAAAGTATTACCTACCTAAGCAAAGCATTTTTTGAAGAAGAGAATTACACAGTGAAATTTTATCTACTGTATAATTAAAATACACCCAAAACCTAGCTGAATTTGCCTCAATAACTCAATTATTACATAAAGCCAGCCAAATATAAGAAATTATGTTAAATTTTAAATAATTATGATAACAGTGAGTATTATGAGCCTGTCAATATGCACTACTATGTATTTTTTAATTAATTTCTATACAAGTACTTGCTTGAATGCAGAAAGCTACAGCAGATTGATTACATACAACGATGAAGAAATGCTGAATAGAAATTCTATCCAGTGATAAACAACTAGATTTATGGAAAATTGATGTGTTCCTACTTTATATCATTTATAGAGAGAATTTCTTGGGACTGCCAAATTTTAAGGCCAGGTAGGGAACAGTACTGTAAATGTCTGCTAGTCTGATGACATCAGCATGAGCAGCTAATTTTAATTTCTAAATTAAACTGTCCATGTTGCTCCACTGTACTGGAATCCCTGGTTATTTTCACCAAGCAGTTAATAAAATAAAAGCATTTTATGCTACATTCCACTTAGCTATTGAAGAGATGACACAAAGCCACACTATGGTTTTGCAAAAGTTATTTGAAAAACAAAGTCCTACCTCTTGCCAAATAACTTAGACAGATATACATCTGTATGAAATAGTGAATCTTAAAGTTGAACAGAAGCAAATACGTCCAGAACCCTCCAAAGTTCATACTCAACGCAAGTTTGAGAAGAACCAAGATAATGTAAAACATGGTCCAAAGTTCCAGACTTTTATGATTATTTGCCAACACTACGTACTAGTTTCTGCATTACTACTTGAGTTCATATATAACCCAAATTTTTCAAACTTTCTCACTTATCAAAAATGGGAAACAAGCGAACAAAAAATAACAAAGACCTTTTTGCTCATCAGTACGTGCATTGAAAAAACATTTGTAATTATTAATAAGGTGCACATCTACATCCTTTGCACTATAATACTGTTCACAGGTCAGGGCCATTCATTTTTAGTGAAAAATATAGATGAATTGTTAAAAAGGTACCGGGTTTTGCACATGAAACAAGTTCTAGTAATTATTGTGACAATACATGTATGGCCTTCCAAACAAAGACCTAGAATTTAAAAGAATGATCAGCATTTAGGACTAGTATTTTGCAACCTGTCAGTGTTTTGATATTTTGACAGGCTAAAAATAAATAAATAAAATTAGCTTCTACAGTTCCGTCCTGGACTACCAAGAAAAGGATGTATATGCTGACAATAGGTCTGAAATTGGGAAAGCTCCTAAACCATTTCCTAGACAGCACTCAAGTAAAAAGGACATTGAGAAATACTAAGCACAGTAAGCAAAAAGTTTTAGCTTGGTATTATAGTTTCTTCCCTGGTCCTACCTCATCCTCTCACTAACTGGAAAGCTACTAACTTAACAGCACCCACTGGACCACTTTGTGGTTGTTCATCTTTCAAAGCACTGGTTTTCTTCTCAAACTCAAGCATTATCCCTTTGTGCCTGTGTTCTCACTAGCTGCAGCTGAAAGACCTTTTCACCAAACAGGACATGACAACTGGGAAGGGCTTGTCCTAACAGGGGCCCAAAAATACAGACAACTGGATGCTTAAGACTTAGTTTTTATGTTTGTTTAGCTACAATTGTTGACCACACACACACAAAAACCCAAACCCCCCAAAGCACAGCTATACAATATTAATTTAAAACACATCCAAACTATTTGGAAAAAAGAAGTATTATTTCCATTAAAACAGTTTTAGCACTTCTTTGGTCCCATGAAGCCATCAACTTTTTCCTATACCAAACACATGTACTTATATCTTGCATGCTTGGAAGCTCATCTGTCTAAGCTGATTTCCTGTTTGAGAAACTTGCTAGGGAAAAAGCATAAGCTGGTTCTTAGTGTTCCGCAGAATAAACCAATTATGAAGAATTCAATCAAATCAGTCCTTTCCAATGAGTCATGAGGATGGTCTGGATTTCTTTTTTAATTGTATGTAATGTCAAAATACTAAATATAACCCTGCTTTCTAAAAACCAGGAGATGAGTCACAATTTTTTACGATGCAAACTCTAATGGAATAGCTGGTTTATGCTAAGAGAAGCCCCAAATATTTAAATTTCACTTGACATAAATAAAACTAGAGGAAATTCCATTCAGCAATTCTGTGTTCTTAATGAAAACTTGTTATTTCAAACTTACATTTCCCTCAAATACACATATGTAGGAAGTATAAGAGCTTTCCAGTGAAACTTCTGATTCACAATATTCTTGGAACTGTGCAAAGATTTGAATTGTTACAAGTCTGACAACAGACACAACTGATGTTCCCAGTTACACAGACAGGATTCAGCAAGAAAACGAACTTAGAAGACTCACTTTATGACAGTAGGGAAGCAAAGGGGTGGTGGGGAGGGTGATTTCCTTTTTTTCCTCTAAGAACATGCCTCATATACTTGCATGTACAATTTGTAAATTATAACTCTAAAAACGATAATGTAATAACTATCCAGGTACATAGAGGTCAATTATGAAAGCAGTCACTTACTTGTCCTTAGCAAACTTTCAAGCACAGCTTATTTTTCAGAGGACCTTCAGAATCAGAAGTCATTTTAAGTCACATCCTGAAAAACAAAAAAGGCTTTATTAAAAAAAAGAAAAAAAGCTTGCTTGAATTTTTACATCTAATGTTAATAAACTTGCCAAAAAAGTAAGCACTCAATAGTGATCTATTTTAATGCCAAATGACTTTAAAACTCGCAATCACTGCAACTAACTGTCATCTCTGCTGTCTGCTAAACAGCTCAAAAGTCTTAATATCACAAATGTGACAGGTAAGCTGGATCTCCTTTCACAACTAAATGTATTTAAACTTAAAAATTTTTTTTAACTTTGGGAGAAATAATGAAAACTGCTGTACATGTTTGATCTTAGTAAATTTTAAGTCTTAATATTAAAGCTGCAGCCCCAAATCAATTTTTTGTAAAATTATGACTGGCATGTAAAACTTCAGTGCGTAGCCACTATGTCAGCCTGTGCACACTGCCTGGTACCTAACTATCACCTGAGAATAGCAAACTGATTTCAGAGCTATGAACACTCAGGTTTCTGTGTGCAATTGTAGGAATGATTAATCCACATTATCATGCATTTTATACAAGGTATGATTAAGTGTACTAATTAGTGGGATTCTGGGTCTCTATAGAGAATTACAGTAACTTAGGAAAAGTTTTAAACAACAGCTGTGTGATTGAATTGATTTACTGAAAACTGCTTAAAGCACTACGTAAAGCAGGGGCTGTTGAAGCCAATTAGAAAAATAAATTGCTCTTGGGAATTATTTATGAGCCATTCACATGTAAGCACACACCATAGTCCTATCCAAAATCAAGAGTTTCCAAATTGATACTTTTACCCAGACTACTTAATAGGTAATCACCAGCAGGCAGGTAAATGAGTTTTATTCAAGTACCACATTTCTTAAGAAATTAAACTGAAGCTTTTTGTATCAACTGGTTGCATGTGCATTCATCTGCTGGTTTAACCATTCCTCTGACAATACTGATTGTAGCTTTATTTATACCAACTGGAATTACCAATTAGAAGGTTGATTGACAATGTGGTCACGTAAAAGTAAGCATCAAGAGTAATTGTCTCCTAATTAAAGACTTCTGTAACACCATTTTATGCTAAATCAACCTCTGCTAATCATGGAAACCAGAACAAAAGCACACACAAGGAAAAATAGAAGGAAAAAAAAAGAATGATTGATTTTAGCCATATTATGATGCAATATCAGAAACATTTGGATATCACAGAAAATGAAATTCTTCAGCTGTTCATTTCTGCAAAAATGCTAAACCAGACTTACACTACACTCAGTGATAGCTTCCTATCTAGTTATGGTCTCATAGCCAAACAACGGCTATTTTCCGAGATCTCCACTGGACAGAATTTATTAAACAAAAAGGTTATAAATCACGTTCACTGTCTCATATGCAAGCTTTTTCATCAAATTTCTACAACAGCTTGGTAAACTGGATAAACAAAAGCCGTTAAAGAGAATCACAAATGGATCTCACTGAGAAGTTGATCCAAGGAGGAGAAATCACAAAATCTCTTAAAGGTGGAAGATTCAAAACCCACAAGTATCAAAAGGATTCTGTATGACTGGACATGCAAGGGTAAAGAGAAGAACCCTGAAAATGTGTTAAATTGAAGACCACATAAAAAGCTTGACACTGTATAAATTAGCTTTAGAATATTCCCTTCATATTCCTCTCAAATAAATATTAATTCAATGGATGTCAATATATGAGCTGTTTAAACAGATGGAATACAACTTCCCAAAGAAGTACTGCAGTAAAGTAACTAAAAGCTAACCTTCTGAACAATCTGAAGGCTCCTAATGGGTTAGAAAAGGGTTAGCAAAGGCACCTAGAGTAGCATTTCACTCATCTGGTCTGGACAAATGCTGCAGAGCCCCATCCTATGAGAACTGTCAATTTGCAGGGCAACCCAGACAGACATTCTGAATTGTGTTTCACAGAGCAGGATGAAATTAAACCAACCTGAAGGAGAGATGAAAACCTTACCAGCAAGCCATAAAGTTAAGACAAAATACAATACAGCAAAATTTTGCCATATATCAAAAGTAAATTTGACCTCAAGTTACTACCACTATAAATAAAACAGGTTATTAAAATTTTATAATCTAAGAAGTCATTACATTGTTATCATCTACTGGCAGAGGTTGTCCAGAGAAGCTGATGACTTTCCCATGCCTGGCAGTGTTCAAGGCCAGGTTGGACAGGGCTTGGAGCAACCTGGTCTAGAGGAAGGTGTCCCAGCCCATGGCAGGAGGTTGGAACTGGATGAGCTTTAAGATAGATCCCTTCCAACCCAAACCATTATATGACTTAAATGAAAAAATAAAATACATCCCTCTTTTTCAATACTACTTGGGCTTTTCTTGCTGATGAAAGCCGTATCTTTTACGTACTGGAAATTGACCACTCAACTCGGTTATCCCTACTCTAAACCTACTACATGCCTCCTGAGTACAGAGGTAACAGCCAACTCCTTAACCTTTTTAATACATAAAATATTTTACTTCAACATTGTTTCTGTTCTTATTCACATTAATTAGTTTACGTTATTACAGTGTCTATTAGAGTATCAGAGTGATATTAGAGCATCAAAGCACAGCCATGTACCAAGTGATTGCCAGTCTCAGTATTCTAAAAGCTCAGCATCTGGGGCTGTAGGAGCAGCTTCTCCCTCAGCTCTCACTGCCCCAGTACCACTTTCAACATGTGAACATACTATTTCGTGTCTAAAACCTGCACAACCAAAAAAGCACGAGTGCTCAAACAAAAACATTGTTTGATAGGTTTTCGTCTCAATAAGCTCAACATAGTGACCTTCAACTTATTTCCCCACCTTCAGAATGAGCTACAGAGATACTCAGTTTACACCAAAGAGAAACTGGGCATCCAGCAGAGCCTGGCTACCAAATTTAATTTTCATTATTACACACAGTCCAGTTTTCAATTCGATTTTTAAAACACATACAAGAAGGAACATTACATTAGAGCGTGGATGGGATAGCTAAGTGACAAGGCATATTATTGCCTGTGGCACAGACAACAACAATATAACAGAGCTAAGGCTGCACCGGTCTTAAGGTTAAAAATATACATATTTTATATTCATAGTCAAATGTGCCAGATATGGCAAACACAATGGTTACTTTTTGAAAGAAGATATGACAAGGACAGTCTCTGTAATCCTCTTTAAATGTTTCAGAAGTAATTAATGAGCCTGTTTAAGAAAGAAATCAAATACACTTCCAACTACAGTACATAAAACCAACATATTTTTAAACCGCTGGCAGAGGGAAAAATTGCGGCAGATAAAATGCCAATGAACTTTAACTACAGCTTTGTGAATCTGAAAGTACAAACTACTGAAACAGCTAAAGAGACTCAAGTACACTGAGTTAACAGAGGTTTTGGCATACTGTAACTATTTTGTACTGGAAAGTCTTATCATTTAAGATTAAAGCAGCTATACTTACATTATGAAGCAAACAGCAAATTATACTGATACATCACTATCCTAATCTAGCGCTTCCATCAGTACAATAACTAAAAGTACTCTTCCAAAATATACGTGTTTGATCATTCTCTGCTCTTTTTTTCCCCACCCCGTCAGCCAAAAAGGTCATTTAGGAGATAATAAATAACTGCCTTGGAGCCTTCACTGAGTCAGGCCTGTTAGTTAAAAATAAAAAAATTAAACCTCTCGCAGCCAGTGAAGCACACACCTTGTTGCAACATGTTAAATAATCTTAACTCAGCACACATCCTTTTTGTATTAAACCTTCTGTCTTAGGGAGACCATAATTCTTCAAGCCTTGTCAGGTTTCATTTACCAATTCCCCTGCAGTGTTTAGTAAGCACTATGCACTCCTGAGCTATTTTTCAGACATGACAATTAACTTGAGCCTTGTTCACTTTGCATATATTAATATGACAGGACTCTTTCAGTTAAAGGATGGTCAGAGGCACACACTCAGAGTGCGTCTCCTGTTCCTCTGATAAATAATGTGTGTGCTCTATTTCTGAAGTATCATTACTTGTTTCCTATACATCCCTGCTTCTAGTCACAGCAGTAGATACAGGACCCTGCTATAACAAATAAAACGAAAGAGAAAAGGGGGCTCCAGTGAACTTGCTTATAAAAAAGACTAGTCTCTATGCTTACACTTCCACCATGTATTGCTGAACACTTGTAAAAGTTTCTTACCCATCGGCTTCCGCACCAAGCCCTGTGGTGAAGTGGTTTCTGCATCTCATCACAGGTCCAAAGACACGTTAGCCACATTTTGGACTCAGAACAACTGCTGCCCTCGTAACTCAGCTGTGAAAAGCCAACTTCTTTGGCTAGACATGTCTGTCAGGATACAGCTCTTGTAAGTGAAAGGCAACTGGGCATGATGCAGCCACACCACCTACTTGCATGAGGCTGGCAGCAAGAATTTGCATGCTCGAAAACAGCAGGCCAAAATAATACCGAAGAGGGCTTCAATCTTAATTTATTTCCAAGCCACTGTACTGGAAGAGGTAATCTGGTCTTTCAATATTGCTGCTAGCATCAGCTGAGTGGTTTTAGAATATATTTAGAATGTTTTTAACATAGGTAAATCCTTATAGACTTGTATTGGAAGAGTTAGTAACAACAGTTACTTAAAAAATAATTTAAGATTCAATAAATGCATATAGAAAGAAAAGAAATCCTGAGCTCAAATACCACAAAGAAAGAAATAGGATGTGATGTCTGGGCTACCATAATGGGATTTGGTAACTACTGAACCGGTAAGAAAGCACAGGCTACCACCATTCTTTTCTGGACTTCCAGACATTTAACAGCAGAAGATAGGCAAATTAGCAGTTGACTCAAATACACGTCTATTTAGGTGTTATATTAATATTTAATGCAGTTCTAAAAGTGGAAAATGCTTCTTCACACCATCCTTTCAAGAAACAGTGGGTACTATGGGAAGAGACTCTACTTGTGAACAGTGCACAAACCTCTCTGCTATTACTAACACCAATTAAAT